TATTCAAGCCACGAAATATCCTCAAAGAACTTCAACAGTCCTTTGATGTTGCGAAAAACTTCGGGGAGTGACCCTGGCGTGCCGAGATGTTTAGCCCTGTATGCAGCGAACTTCAGACATGTCAACAACACGTGGGCCGCCGTCGGACTATCTGTAACACCTATGGTAAATAAATGTTTGTTAAAAGAACTACGTCCTGTAATAGCGCTTGTTGCTATCCTGATCTGTGGTTTGTTCAATCTCATAAAGACCTTGGTTAAACGACTGTTTATTTATGGCAGGTCCACCGTAGCTTGTCTACAGTTTTCTAGACTTTTTAAAAGATGACCGTGTTGATTAGTGAAGTTTTTAAGTACTAGTGAATTAACCAAAAGGGATCCGTATGATTGGTTCCGGCCCTATAGCGACCAGTGCCAATCCTCTCTCGGCCAGATCATATCCTGCGTTGTACGTAATAGAAGAAGAAGAAGAAAAAAAATACCATGACACAGACACTTGACGCATACATTGATATAAAAATTTATAACTTAAAAATACTTAAATTTAATAAATTTAACTTTGTACGTCAAAGTCATTTAAAAAAAAACATCTTGTGTATGGTGAAACCAAAATATTGATTTTCAGTAATGGAATTATGAAAGACCTGTTTTGATGATTCATACCTTAAGTATTAATTAATTATTTTCGCTACTTCGTTTGCGTGGACGTTCGTAAATTGGAGTCGTTATTTGTATAATAAACCAGGAACGCCGTTTAGTAAGAACACATCCAACCAACCAACTACCCCATATCTTCCCGTGAGAGGAGAAGAGACGACAGAGGAACACTGAAGCATAAAGATGGGCAGCAGCATTTTTTTGATAACAGCAAAATAACAATAAGAAACCGCGGTTGCCAAACTGCTCGCCAAGCGTGGCAACTATGGCCATATACCCTCCAAGAATAAAGTTATGAAGAGACGGGCCCTAGTTCCCGGCGGTCCCGCTATTCCTGGCTACGGTGGCGACCATGGTCACGGCGGGGCAGGGAGTGCTAAGAATATCCGGTGGAGGTTCGGTTGCCACCAAAGACGACGCGACCTTGCAACACATGATTAAATATAAGATCCTGACGCTGGAAGAATAGATAGACAAGTTGTGCTGGAATATTATAGGATTAGCTGAGGTCCAAAGAGAGGGGGGAGACATGGTAATCCTCGACGAATCCGGCAACTTGTTCTATCACCGAAAGGGTGACCATCTGTCCCAAAGAGGTGTCGGATTTATTGTCAAGTCACTCCTTAACAACGTTCTAACGACTGGGTGTGTGCGACGGTTGCTACCTTATACTCAGAACCACCAAACGGTATTATCTGAAGTTCATACAGGTTTATGAACCAACCTCGACACATCCCGATGAGGATCTAGAGCCATGCATTCCTCCGAAACCCACTGCACGGTGTTAATGGGAGACTTAAACGCAAAACTAGGCACAAGAGAGAACGGTGAGCTGAAGGTAAGGAAATTTTAATAGGGCAACGGAACTCAAGGGGCCAACAGCTAACCGACTTCATGGAGAAAGAGAGACTCTTTATGATGAACTCTTTCTTCGAGAAGCAGCCCCACAGGAAGTGGACCTGGAACACCGACGGTTCGACAAAAAATAAGATTGACTTCGTTATGACGACTAGACGGCAACTGTTCAGTGCCTTCGCAGGGATCGCGTGGGTGAAAAAGGTGAAACACCGAATGGTGAGAGGCAGACTGAACCTAAACTTAAGTTGGAGAGGTCAATTCAACGTTCCGTCCGTCATCCCCTCCTATGTTCTAATCCAAAGTCCCGCAGTGGACGACATGAATAACAAGCTCGTGGAAACAGTCCATGCGGTGAGCTAAGTTTCTCAATACCCGCCGCAGGGGATCACAAAAACTCTCCGATCACACTCTTAATCTCATGACTATTAGACAGGTAATGAAGCTGCAGTCTTCAGCGGATTTGACAGCATAGAGGCAACTAAACAGACAGATCTCTAAATGCATGCGTTGAGACTACACAATTTTAATACAGCCCGTATTAAAAAAGCGATAGAGCCAAATCATGGCTGCAAAGCCGAAGCTGACGACAGACTGTGGCAGCATCGTTACCGGGACACCTGAGATTTTGAATGAGATTGAGAGGTTCTATAGGCAGCTGTACACATAATCGTTAGAACCATACTCAAGTGTGAGTAATAATCCGGGAGCAAGGCTTATCCGACACTATTCCGATGATATTCCGGACGTCAGTCTGAGCGAGATTAGAATGGCTCTCTGGTACCTTAAAAACGGCAAGAACCCGGTCAAGGATGGAATTACAGCGGAGGTTAGGAAAGCGGGTGGAAAACCGGTGCTTGAACTCCTTCATAAGCTTTCTAATTCCGTCCTCCACTGTGGCACTACACCGGAGGCGTGGAGCAGAAGTGTGGTGGTCTTGTTCTTCAAGGAAGGCGACAACGCTCTCTTGAAGAACTACAGACCGATTTCCCTTCTGAGCCTGACTCAAGGACTTCCAACCTCCCGAACAAGCTGTTTTTCGAAAAGGTTTTAGCACCATAGATCACATATAAATTGTATAGAAGACCGAAGAGTACAATTTACCACTATGTCTTGCGTGAATTCGGGAAAATTTGGGCGGTGCTGCAGTCCCTTCAGCGGTGACAAGTTGACTGTCGGTATATCGAAGTGCTGAAGTATTTGTACAGTAGAGCTACAATGGCAATCAGAACACAGAACCAGAGAATGAAACCTATCCAACTGCAGAGAGGTGTAAGATAGGGGACGTAATATCCCTGAAATTCTTCACTGCTATATTAGAAGACGTTTTCAAGCTTCTGGACTGGAAAGGATATGGTATTAACGTCAATGGCGAGTACATCACTCACCTTCGATTTGCCGACAGTATAGTCCTTATGGCAGAATCACTGGAGGACCTAAGCACTATGCTCAATGACCTCAATAGTGTGCCTCCCAACGGATAGGTCTTAAGAAGAACATGGACAAAACAAAAATCATGTTTAACGTCCATATCACACCTATGCCGGTAGTTGTTGGGAGCACTAAGCTCGAAGTTGTTGACGAGTATGTTTACCTGGGACAAATAGTCCGACTAGATTCTAACGATTTTTCTCTTCGTTCTCTAGTACATTCGTCTTCCTTCTTCAATAAATCAGGGACATTGCCCAGTAGCTCGTTCAAGCGTGGGAAGTTTGGCACTAACAATGCGGCAAACTGCCATAGCAGCTCAAAAGAGGATACTTGAAAAAGTTTGAGTTGAGCGTCATATCAATATATAACGCACAGCTCAAACCGCTGGACGTAGACGCATGAAATTGTATCAATGTAGCTTCCTTTTATTACGTAGGCTATTGCTTACGACTTATTATTTATTACTAGGTAAGGAAAAATTTAAACCCTCAGAGGGTGAAATAAGGTTTTACAGTTCGAAAGCTTTTTATTTTACAGGCTGAGTACATATTCGTATCGTAAATATTTGAATAACAATAAATTTCTTCTTTTCTTAGCAACCAAAAATATTATTTTTAACTTTTTAGTAGTTTTTAGTATCTGGGTTATTAAAATCATCTATCGGTTAGAAAGTTACTTTAGTTAAAATGTTATTTTTAAAATTATTATATAGGATTTTCGTGATAGGTCTACATTCTACATATTGGATTTTGAATAAGAAATAGGAAAGACATGACGGTGCTCAATTGTAGTCGGATGTCCGCTAGTTTCCAAAGTTATACTTTTAGTTTATTACTGACTTTTTAAAACATACCAATTACAAAAAATAGGATCCAAACAAGTAGCATAATATGTAGGAGTCACTATAGTAGGCGCAAAAAGACGCAAGTTAAATGGGTTTAAATAAATAATGAACTGAACGGAGTCACATGAATGTTCTAAGATTTTACTATTGAAGTCCCTACATACGTATTGGCACTTGTTCGTATGTTCATTTTTTATAAAATGATTTGTTTCTGCAGAATTATTAGATTTTACTAGATTTACAGGAGTCCACAAAAGAAAAAATGCTACAACATGACCTGTGAATGAATGCTACGACATGATTTTTCAATAGAAGAGGGTTCAAAATTGCATGCGGCTCACTTGATCCTAAATACCTACCGCCCCTCATAAACTACTGTAAACCCAGAGTAATTACAGGAGTAGGCACTTTTTTGGACTTTCAGAAGTCCTATTTGTATGAAAAATTCGCGGGTTATAGCTGATTTTACAAAGTATTCGTGCGAGGAATAAAACTCCTGTAGAATCGCACAGTTGTGTATTTAGATGGTATGAATGGTACAGAAAATTGTGTCGTGATGCGCGTTGGTGGACCTTGGCAAGTGGAATCAACCAGAACAGTTCCTTCAAACATATACCTTGCTAATGTGATAAAAAACAAAGAGATGTTTTTCGGAACGCCAGTGAATCAAGCCGATAAGAAAGAACTCGGTAAATTTCCATCTAACAGCATCTAACTACTAGCATTTTTAGAAGGAGTTTTAATTTACTTACATTTACAAACGTCGATATTTTAAACAAATAAATGCGTATATAAAGCGACGAAACTAAAACATAGCGTGACGTTGTCGGTATTAGAACAAGCAAGTGCGATGCCGTACCACCCCCTGCCCTTTTAATGACACCTTCAATTTGTCCGCTTAATTTGCATATTTCAATAACAGTTTCTTGTGTTAAAGACCTTTGTGCTTTGTAGTTTGATGTTAGAGGCAGACTTCTTGCACAGCTTGCCATCGTTACTAGCCGTGTTGAAATATTCGACAAAATATTAAGTTGGTTTTGTTTAGATCCCCAACAAAAAAGGAAGAAAATATTAAATGAAATTTAAAGCACTTAAAATTTGAAAATCTAATTAATTTAATACAATCTATACATTTAATATAACGATTTTAAACAACATATAATACGCTTAATGAAATTAAATTAAAGTCCCTTTATTACATTGCTTACTTAAAAATGTTTGTGTATGGTATTAAACCAGGGTCTAGTGAAGAAGAGGAAGAAGAAGATGTTATGGATATTCTACAGGTTTGCTCGTTAAATATTAGATCATGAAACATGATATAACGAAAATAAAGACATCCTAAAATAAAACTCATGTTGCAACATTGCAATAAAAGTAATTTTACGGATTTTATCATCACAAGTGCGTCTTTCCGTGAATCACTTGTGAACTGGGATGCTTTACAACACACGTAAAGCATCGAAAACCTTGAGAATTAAAATAAGTAAAAACAAGTTAAATTAAATCCAGTTATTTATTTGTGTAAATATAATAAATTAGTCATGTCAAAAATTGTAAAGAAAAAACATAAAATAATCAAGCTGTTTTCAGAAGTTCAGAAATTAAAGTGATCGAGAAATGATGGAGGGAAAATAAAAAATTATTTAATGTACATTTATGGTAATATTAATAAAGATGATAAAGATGTCTACTCTTTGTTTCAGAAAAGACGAGAAGAATGCGAGCGCAAGGCAAGAAGAGGGGAGATGGATCCCCGTCTGGAGTTTACATTTCAGCTCCTGATTGATGGGACTGGTTTACCACGTCATACTATAATGGATCATGTTTTCGAAGGGAATATGGTACGTGAGGCTTAAAGGTTTGGTATAGGTTTATAATTATTGTAAACCGAAAAGAATTTATTATTTTCAGACCAATGACCATTTGATTGTTTTGTGACGGGAATAAATACTAGTTAATAAAGCTATTTCAAACTATTGCAGTTAGATGATATCAATCAACTGTTTCTTCCTCACATGAGGAATAAACTTCTTTGGTATTACCAAGACGTTGAGGAAGTTGAGCAGCGACCACAAGCCGAAGGTACCAAACCGCGTCAGCAAGGTCAAGGAAAGCAGCCACCACCTCAAGTGACTCTTAAAAAGAAGCTATTTTTATCAGATGGCTGGGACGTAAAATTTACGGGGATATGTATTTATATGTTCAGAATAAATGTCAGCAAACAGTTGCCAGAAGAAGGATTTCATAAAGATTTGTAAGTTGTGTTTGTATTTATTTTTAACCTATCAAACTATAAAATAACAAAGGGAAAAGCTGCTCAATTTATACTGGTGGCATAAAGATTAGTAGATAACCTTCTTTTATAAATTGTTATCATTGAGTGAAACTAATTTTACGGAGAATATCGCCTTTAATTTTAACTTTTTTGATCCCCAACTTTCTGATCTGATTTTAGCAGTTAATGAAACTCCGTTAACTAAGAAGCGGTACCTCAATTATATGAAGCCTATGGATGTATAAGGAGGCGTTGAGATATGGCAGTAGATGGAAAGGGGAACCTTTTCCACTCCGTATTACGTTGTATTTTAAATATAGTGTCTGTTGATTATATCTAACAATTTATTAATTTTTAGGTTCTGTGGAATTTTAAATGCCGGTAAAGTGGGACTGGTGACGGCAATAGAGCGGATTATGGAGCACGTTTACATGAATGCGCTCGCTCATCCGAGTAGCGATGGAGACGAAGACGAGACTAGATTCCCTATCGTTAAGAACCAACTACTTCCAGGACTCAGATCATTCTGTAGTGCTCTAAAAGGTTAGCTTAATTAAAAATTAATCAATAAATACATCTCTATAATGTCGTGGTAAAAAATAGTTTCTTTGAACAAATTTATCGGGTATGATGAAGTTATGCAAAGTATTTGCAAGCCTTTAAGAAAATGTATTTTTTTAATGACATAAAAAATATTTAGCAGCTTATCTTGCTCTTAGATAAATCATGTCGTCTTCGGCAAAGTCAAAGTCAAAATATTTTTATTCAAATTGCCCATTACCAAGAAGTTAAACATCAAACAATGATATGACGTGACATGACACATAGTTCAAGTATTTTAGATAGAAATGTAGGGAGAAATTGTTAATATTAATAGAGACTTTTTATCTATCGGCATATGTACGATAAAGAGCAAAGTTAAATTTTGTACCTCTTTTTAAAGAACATATTTTAATCTTTACTTTAGGCATAAATATCTTGGCGGTAAAGTGGGAAATTATTGATAAAACTAAATTTTGAGAAAAAACATAGATAAATGATAAAACAATTCATATTTCGTAGCAGATTGCGCGAAAACAATAAATGATATAACTTTTGTATTTATAAGAGGTTGATAGCAAATTTATGAAATATCATTTCGTACCTACACACTTTTCATGTATCGTGTACGGTTTTCACGGGGCGTTCACTCGGGAGGGGGAAGGAGGGTGGGTAAAAATTTACTTCACTACATAATATACATATGCGGATAGATAAAAGTACTCCATTAGTTTTGCCAATTTCTTGGAGAAAATGATTGAACTAACCTTGCTTATAGAAGAGTTCACTGCTGGTTTCTCTCGGTTGTCATCGGACGATTGTGTATTACGCGCCGTTTGCGCGCCGAGCCGAGTGTTAAATTATTTTAATTTTTCATTATCTCTTAAACTACGTAGGTCACTCAATAAGTTTTGAGATGCTCGAAATTTAAAAATGGAACGCACCCGTGTTCTATGTTTCTAAAAAGAAAATTTATTTAAAAATAGAACTCCATAAGCCAATTCCTCAATATTAAAAAAAAACAAATTTCTAATAATTTTTCTGCTACGCTTCCCGCGCTTTTCATTTAAAACGATGGATCTTAACCGTGAACATTTGCGCGCTATGATATAATATGATTTTAGATTTGATGTAATCGAACAATTATGTTTACAACGGTTACAATCAGCATAAGGGGACTCAGCCCCATCACGCGCAACAATTTTAGGTGGTTTGCTGAATTCGAAAGGGTTAAAATTAATCTTAAAATGACGATAGAACCGGGGCCCCGCAAACAGCAGTAACGGCAGAAAATGTATGGACTACTGAAATGTTGGTGCGAGAAGACCCACGAATCACATATACGGACATCGAAAAGATTGTAGGCATTAGTTCGTGGAGCATTCATATCATCCTAAATTAACATCTTGGAGTGAGGAAGCTTTGTTGTCGATGGATCCCTCGTTTGCTCTCCGAAAGCGAAAAACAGACTCGTGTGGATTGGTGCCATATAATGCGTCTACGTTTTGAAAAAGGGGGCATGTATCTGTGCACGGCATGTTTCAGAAATCGTTATCTACTAGTGACGACACATGGATCTATCAATATGATCCGGAAAATAAAAGGCAATCATCGGTATGGGTCTACTCAAAAAGAAAGTTACCCACAAAACTGCAAAGAGCTCGCATCGTCGGCAAAAAAATGGTGGCTAGTTTTTTTTTTGGCGGAGCTGACATTTGTCGACGTCAATGCTGGAAAATCGTAGGTCAGTCAACTTTGAATGGTATACTACAGTTGGATCACCCAAAGATTTTCATCAATCATGCTGCATCACGATAACGCCTCTTCACATATCTCCCTTAGAACAAAAGCATTTATTGAGGAATTTGGTGTTGAAACTCTAAGTCACCCACCCTACAGCACTGACTTAGCTCCTTGTGATTTCTTTTTATTCCCGAGAATCAAAGATAAAATAAAAGGCAAGTTTTTTCAAGCGTCGAAGAAGCCGTGACTGCCTACGGAGAAGCGATTTCCGACCTGTCAGATCAAGACTGGCAAAAGTGTTTTCATAGTTGGTTTAGGCGAATGGAACTTTGTATAGATTTTTGAAGGAGAATATTTTGAAAATATGTAAAATAAATATTCATAGTATCTAGAATACTTTTGTATATCTTAAAACTTATTGAGTGTCCTACGTATGCGTTCAAATAACGTCCTATAAAGAGCAAAGTTTATTTTCATAAAATTGTCTTCATTATGAAGTAACTTTCGTTCGTAAGGATTAATACGCGATCCTAATAATAACGCTCATAAATGACTTTTTAATTTGAAATAATTATTGTCACAAAATACCTTCGTGTGTCTTAGCTAGCTATAAGCCACAAAGCTGGCAATAATATATAAAAAGATTTAATAATATTAAAATTGGACTCGCAGTTTAAAAGATTAGCGTGTTTAAACAAACAAAAAAAACATAAAAACTCTTCCACTTTATTACATTAATAGCATATATTATGGATCAGGGTAGAACCCTTGGTGTAATAATATTGTGCAATAGCTATATATATGCGAATACCTCTCTTATGTATGACATTACACCATGTAAATAGTTGAAGTAAGCCGCAGTCATAACAGCAGTTATGACTTTTCTTAAGTGCGGTAGTTGTTTTGTTTTGCACTACGCTTGGAGTAGTCGATGTTTACTTAGGAGAAATTGCCTAAAGAGGTCAATAGATGGATCAAACTCTGCTTGGTAGTATCTGGGAGATTACGAAACATCTCGTCACCTATATCTCAAAACTTACCAGTGATGACATAAGAATCTGAGACGTGGTCCTTAACTGATGGCCGTATGAGGAAGTCCAAGATTGGGCGGCAGACTACGGAAGGACTATGCTCGGAGTTCCGCTACGTGATATGCTTCAAAAAGAGGATATCCACTGAAGAATCAGAGAAACCAATATAGCTTATCGGATGAGTAAGCTGAAGTAGAAATAAAGTTCGTAAAACTGACAACCGATGGGGTCGAAAGGTTCTCGAGTAAGAAACCAAGCGAAGTCTCCCTAGCTGCCTAAGCAAAGTTTAGGACGACTTTCCGCTACATAAAGTGACAATTTAGTATGAGATGCAGGAAATTGATGGATGCTGGTGGCTCAGCATCGTCCTTTGTGGCATAGCTTATAGAAGCCTGATGTTCATGAATACATAGTGGACCTAAATCTCCTTGACAAGCCTTCAACTTCAATATAAGATCTCCGAAGAAGAAGAGAACAGTCTAGAGTGAGGAAAACTGTGGAATCTACTAATACAAAGTATTTAATTGGGCAAATTAATTCGACTAGTGACCTGCCTTACATTTGGTAAAGACTTTACATTTTCACAGTTTGCGAAGACGTATGCAACCAGGTGAATTTATTCGATGACGGCAAATCATTCATGGCCAATGTACAAGATCACACCGAGCTGAAGGAAATGACAAAAAATCCTAACACTATAACCATGTTAGAAGAGCGAGTTAATGAGTGGATCAAAAAAGTGATGGAGGTATGCAATCAGTCATCCGAACCTTTACTCTTGTAACATTTGTTTGTATATTTATTTGTGTCTAAAATCAACTGCAGTATATAACTAATCTTATTGACGTTTACTTTTCATTTACTTGTCTAATTTTCTTATATATTTGTGAAGATATATTTTTATAAAACAGATACTCAGTGAGAGCGAACAACTACGCCGCGAAGTGGACTCCAGCGGGCCCCAGGATGAGCTTGAATATTGGAAAAAAAGAGGCGCGCAGTTTTCACAACTTGTCTCTTATTTACAGGTTCTTGATTTAAATGAAAAATAATTTAAACATTTTTAAGTTATATATAGATCAATAACCCCGTGCTTGTTTGCGTGCGTGCAATTTTATAACTTTTATAATGACATTAAAATCTTCATCCCCTATTTTTCCACCCATATTTTTAGATTTTTTTAGAAATTTATACGGGACCAAACCTAAAGTATCTATAAAGTACATATTTGATAAAAAAGAATCATTCAAAGTTATTCAACTATTTTCGAAAAATGGCTATGTTCGCCTTTTTTCTTCGTCTTTTTATATTAATAAATAATAGTTTAAAAAAAACTAAAGATACACGCTTTTGTAGATAACCGAATTAAAAAGTAGAATAAAATTGTCAATAAGTTTAAAATAAGAAAATCCTATGATAATGATAAAGAAAAAAAGCGTGAGGTGCCTTTTCAGATATTTTTATGATGACGCTAATTTTAGAAATATTCACAAAAGTAATATTTAAAAAATAATATTTACAATAATTGGCATCAAACACATATTTTTATAATGTTAATCACACATATAGAACTTTCTTGTTTTTTAAAATTTGGTTAAAATTGACGTTCTGTAGTAACATGTAATATTTTTGTTTCTATAAAGTACAATTACATATTATAACAAATTTGACAGGATAACGAAGTCCAACTTACACTTACCTGCTTGCAATTGGCCAACTCGAAAGTGGTAAAGTTCTGGCGCGATACGGATCACAAGATCACGTTTTGCTACAATGAAGCCAAGGACAATGCGAAATTCATTCAGGCCATGGAGAAGTGTTGCCACTCGCTCTACCTTGATGACCCGGTAAAAATAAAGGACTCCATACTCAGTTTACTGCAAACGGTTCGCTTGATCCACAGCGTCTCTCAGTTTTACAACACGTCCGAGAGGATATCTTCTTTGATGGTCAAAGTAAGTAACGCACTCAGTAACTAAGTAACACAATGTAACGCACTCCTACATGTTACGGCAGATTGTATGATTAGTCATTATGGGTATGTTCCGTCTATGTTCCGTCCGTTCGTAGGTGTGACGTCAATTCAGTATACTGTGAAGTCGTTCCTATTTAGTTTGCTATACTGTTTACTGTTTAAAACGGAACGCGGTCCAGTATACTGTCATACCCATTTTTCGACACTGTTTTGAAATTAAAATATTTACCATATACACGTTTTCTGTTGAACAAGAATAATTATTATTTGAATGTTGTTGCTTTTAAAACTTAATGTTTTTATTTTGTAATTTTATTTAATAATAATAAAAATAAGGCGCTGTTATGTTCAAAGTATTAACAGCACCTTACCTCGAAAGCGCCAGTACTCACGGTACAAAAATGGCGGCGATTTATGACGTCATATATTTTCCTAGGATTCTGCGGCATTATACTGACATAACGGAACGAATTTTTCACCAGTGAGAGTACTGAGCAGTAGTCGTATTCCAATACACGACCTATATAAACCACGCAGCGTCGTCTGTTTGCTAATGCTCGATGGTTTGGAAACGCAAAACGCAAATTGTAAAGTGACTCGTCTTTTTTCCATAAAACGCAACAGTCCTGTCAAACAGGAATTTCCAAATTGTCACAGTTGACCTAACATTATAATCTATACTAATATAATAAAGCGGAAGAGTTTTTTTGTTTTTTTGTTTGTTTAAACGCGCTAATCTCTGGAACTACCAGTCCGATTTGAAAAATTCTTTATGTATATTATAGCCAGATTTATGTGGAATAGTATAGGCTATCTAGCATATATATAACTCAGCTAGCCTTAAATATGGATATTTGTTAAGCAAGTCAGAAGAAAAAGCACTCCCGAAATGATTTATCCGCGTACGCTGGTGATATCGTTAGGGATACGTAAATACAATGCTCTAGAAAAATATAGATCTTTACTCCGTCTAAAAAAAAGTCCGCGATACCATATGTCTATTTCTTATACATAAGCCATAATTTGCTATTTTGTGACAAAAAATATTGAAAATTTAAACTTACAAAGTAGAAGTTAAAGCATGTCCTGAGCCATCGACTTAGAGCATGTCTTACAATGTAACGTCGCTCCATCTAGTGGGGCGACGCCCTACACTTCGGTCGCCGGTGCGAGGCCGCCACTCGAGAACCTTTTTCCCCCATCGGTTGTCGGTTCTTCGAGCTATATGGCCGGCCAATTGCCACTTCAGCTTACTAATCCGTAGGGCTATGTCAGTCACTCTGGTTCTACTGCGGATATCCTCATTTCTAAGTTTATCACACTGAGAAACCCCGAGCATAGCCCTCTTCATAGCTCTTTGAGCAACTTTAAGCTTCCTCATACGGCCAGCAGTGAATAACCACGTCTCAGTTCCATAGGGCATCATTCGCAACACGCACTGGTTGTACAGGCTCGTTTTCAAGTTTTGAGGTATACGTGAAAGGAAGATGTGCCGTTATTTCCCGAAAGCCGAGTTGAATCCGTTGATTGACCTCTCGGTCGAAGTTGGACTTATCTGGTCGGACTATTTGTCCCAGGTAAACATTCTCGTCAACAACTTCGGGCTTAGTGCTCCAAACAACTACCGGCATATGTGTGACATGGACGTTATACATGATCTTTGTTTTTTCCGTGTCATAAGAACTATATCGTCGGCAAATCGAAGGTCAGTGCAGTACTCACCGTTGATGTAAATAACGGTGAGGGGTATAACGTCACCCTGTCTTACACCTTTTTTATGGGATAAGGGTGACAAACGAGCACACAGTCCACCTGATGGTAAGTGGTTGCTGTGGCCCATAGACATCTACATTTATCCTCGATTACGAATCAAAACGCAGATGCGTTGTCACCCGTGAGGACTAAGATGGAATGTCTCGTTTCCAGTAAAAAGGGTCTCCGGTTCTCTACACTCACCATACGAAACACAGTAGTGTTAAACTGCTATTTTACGCTGATATTCTGTGAGAGCGTGGTCCTTCCCCGGTCGAGCCGACCCATTCGTGTTACAACTATACCAGAAATATATATACGTTTCGTACTCTGGTTCTGTATTCGGATAGCCATCATGCACACTTCATCACTTCGATATACCGACAGTCAACTTGGTACCACTGAAGGGAGTGCAGCACCGCCCAAATTACGACGGAATCAAAGGCTTTCTCATAGTCCACATACGCCATACATAGTGGCAAATTGTACTTGTCGGACTTCTGTACAATTTGCCAAAGGGTATTTATGTAGTCCATAGTGCTAATGTGTGTGCTATTGGTCCTTTTCGGAAACCAGCTTGTTCGGCAGGCTGGAAGTCATCGATTCTGCATGCGAGGCGATTCGTAGTGACTCTCGAAAACAGCACGTAGACGCGGCTTAGAAAGGAAATCGGTCTGTAGTTCTTCAAGAGAGCGTTGTCGCCTTTATTGAAAAACAAGACCACCGCACTTCTTCTCCACGCATCTGGTGTAGTGCCACCATGAAAGACGAAATTAAATAGCTTCTAAACGACTTCAAGTACCGGTTTTCCACCCGCTTTCAGAAGCTCCGCTGTAATTCCATCCTTTTCTGGGGCCTTACCGTTTTAAGTTGCTGCAGAGCCATTCTAATCTCACTCAGACTGACGTCCGGAATATCATCGGAATAGTGTTGGATAAGACTTGTTCTTGGTTCGTTACTCACACTTGCATGTGGCTATAACGATAATGTGTACAGCTGCCCATAGAACTTTCTCAATCTCACTCAAAATCTCAGGTGCCCTGGAAACGATGCTGCCTCACTCGGTCTTCAGCTTCGACAGTTGGCTCTGTCTGGCAGACAGATCTCTAGCAAAGACTTTGGAGCCCTGGTTCCTCTCGATCGCTTCTTTGATACGTGCTGCATTGAAAATGCGTAAGTCTCGCCGCATGCATTTGGAGATCTGTCTGTTCAGTTGCCTGTATGCTTTCAAATCTGCTGAAGACTGCAGCTTCGTTTCCCGTCTAACAGATGAAAGTATGATCGGAAAGTTTTTGTGTTCTTTTGCAGCGGGTCTTATAAAACTTAGCTCCAACCGCATGGATAGTTTCCACGAGCTTGTCATTCATATCGTCCACTGCATTGCAATCTTTTAGGCACTGAAAACGGTTTTGTAGCTCGAGTTGAAAGGTCTCGGGACTTTGGATTAGAGCACGAGGGGGGCGGAGCATTGACTTTAGTAGACGAGACCTCTCCAACTTAACGATTAGGTTCAGTCTGCTTGATGATTCGGTGATCACTGCCGGTTTTCACCCCCGCGATCACTGAGATATCACTGAACAATTGTCGTCTAGTCGACATAATGAAGTCAATCTCATTTTTGTCGAATCGTCGGGGCTCGAAGAGGTCCAATATCTGTGGGACCGCTTCTGGAAGAAAGAGTTCATCATAAAGAGTCCGTCTTTCTACATGCAGTCGGCCATTTGCTGACCCTTTGGGTTCCGATGCCCTATTAAAATTTCCCTATCTTTAGCTCACCGTTCTCTCTTGTGCCTAGTTTTGCGCTGAAGTCTCCCATTAACACCGGAGGATTACCATGTCCTCCCTCTCTCTTCGGATCTAGGATAATCATATAACATTCCAGCGCAATTTTTCTATCTCTTCTTCCAGCTCCTGGATCTTCTCGTCAGTCCTCAGGGTGCGCGCGTTATATGTTGCCAGGTCGAGTCATCTTAGGTGGCAACCGAACCTCCATCGGAGATTATTAGCACCCCCTGCCCCACCGTTACCATGGTCGCCACCGTAGCCAGGAATAACGGGGCCGCCGGTGCCTGGGGGCCGTCTCTTCGTTACTTTCCGTCTCTCGATCTGGACAGCAGCGCTACCTACCGGGTCCATTTGTGAATCTAAACCAGCCCACCCACTCAAACGCACACAAAAAATATCATTAAAATCGTTTGAGCTAAATAGAGATAAATTTGGCAAAGTGCTTGCCTCTGGCATTTTACAAATCAACAAAACGCTCACGTACTCGTAACATTCATAATTTTTTTGCCATTATAATAAATAAAAACAACTTCATGTATTTTACATTGCAATGTTGCAATTAACTACAATGCAAATTTAAACTTTCAGATAACGAATCAAATGATAGAAACATGTAAGCAATATATAACGTGTCGTTTCAAAGAGACGATCTGGTCTCAAGAACGTTCTTTAGTAAGGGAAAAATTGATGCACTGCATCCACTTGAATAAAACGTATAGAGAGACTTATATCTTGGTAAGAGACCAGCCGTTTCTGCCTAATACTGAGCAATTTAGTTTCTCTGAGAATTACGTGTTTGGAAAATTCGACACTTTCTGCAAACGAATCAACAAAATTATTGCTATGTTCGACATGATGGACGATTATAACCACTTATTTGAAAAGAGGATGGAGGGCTTATTGCTGGGTGAAGGTAAAGTATTTCTTTAGTTAGTTACTATAGAATTGTGTTTAAGTTTAACATACATTTTATCTACGAAATGCTACTTATTACTTTTTACTGACCCAACCTTACAAATCTAAAAAAAAGAAAGAAAGCTAAAGAATTACGGCTCACAGAATAAAATTCCCGTAATCCAAATAGTTCAAAGTTCATTATATAAAAATATTTATATTCTATCAAATACGATGATGATATTACGTTTTGTAATTATAAAATAAGTATTATAGAATTTAGTCCTAAAGTAATAGTGTACCTGTTTAACATTTAATGTAGTGTACATATATTTCTAAGTTTCCTATTTGTGTTACTTTATTTTAATACTCCCAAACTTACTAAAACTCTTCTTAGTTTAGTTATCTTTTTTATTAGAATTTAATTTAGAGCTTACGAGTATTTGTAGCTTTACATACTTGTACATATAAAATTTGGTATGATAGGCTAACGATGGTAAGTCTTTGTCACTGTTTACATACTTGTAGGTTGCCTCTTACGACATCCACGCCTTGTTAAAAGTTCACATCGTTACTGAATAAAATTATATTCTTGAGTGATCTCAGTTTAACTACTTATGATATACTCGTAATTTAATTAATGTTTTGAAAGACTTGGAGGAAGCCATACATACGTTCAATGAGGCAAAGAAGGCAGTGACAACTTGTCAGTACGATTACCTAGACTACAGAAACAACGATTTCGACAAAGACTACCAAGCTTTTGAAGGGAAAATGAGCGCATTGCAAGAATCTATCGGGAATACTATTGAAGCTAATTTTGTTAGTGTGTGGGAAACTCCTCAGGGAATCAAATTTTTAACAAGGTTTGAAAAGGTAAGACTATAACTAGTACTAGTATAAGGGATAAAATAGTAACATATATATTTTTATAGGAGAGGGGGCAAACGAGCATACGGCTTATCGATTGGTAAGTGACTAGCGGCGCCCATGAATAACTGCAACACCAGGGGAATTACAGGTGTGTTGCCAGCCCTTTTGTTTGTAATAAAAATAGTAAACAAAGCCGGATACAACTGCAATTCCTTTTATTATGCATATGTTTATCGGTGGTAGTAGTCACTTACCATCAGGTGAGGCGCTTGCCTGAGTGCCCCTTCTTCTAAATAAAAAGTATACGAACAAAATCAATAAAATCAAGAGATGGTAGATATAACAACCAGCTAAAATAAAGAGTTACGGTGTAATGGCGATCTAAGAATATCCATGGGTGCCGTAAGAGGGGACAGAAAGAAACAAATCAGGAGATGGGCAGAAGCGTCTTCCTAATAACGACTAAAAATAAAAAAACCTGCCGTTGCAAACCCGCTTGCCTAGCTTCGCAACTATAGCTAATATCCCACTATGAGGAAATCTATTGAGAAGGTCTATGTTCAGCAGTGGACTTTAATAGGCTGTAAAAATAACGGTAGAACAAAGAGTGAATACATGACACAGCTTAAATGGGACTCTTCACTCTATTGCGGGAAGTCGTATGGCAGTTAAAAATGCTGTGTCAGTTCGTATCTTAATATATGGTAGTGGGGTTTGAGTTTGACAAAAGAAGCATGAGAGTAAAATTAATGCTGTAGAAATGCGGTCATTAATAAATATGTTAGGGGTGACTCTTAATGATAGGGTAAGAAATTATGTGATAAGAATAAGTAGTGTGGTCTGCAAAATGTTGCGAGCAGTATTGAGAGAGGGATGTTTAGGTGGTTTGTGTGACAATGCATATTTATGCTGAAGGAGTAAGTGACGGAGTCGGCAAGGGACGCTCTAAACGAAAGTTACCGACCAAATTGACGACATTTTGAAGATGGGCCAAATTAAGAGTGCATTTAACCGACGAGCCTCACACTCGTCAGTTAAATATACGCGTGAGAGTTTATCAGTATTTCGTAATCATCATAAATTAATTAATTAACTAGTGAGATAGACATAGTGACTAAAAATATATTAGTTTTCTATATTCTAAAGCTACTTTTGTTGTTATGTTAGGTTAGTCAAAAAATTTTAACCACAAAATTGAGTGAAAAGTATGACAGGGTGTTGCAGTATTGTGAAAAGGAAGTGGATAAAATATTGAAAATGTTTAAACGCCAGAAAGATGATCCACCATTGCCGAGAAATTATTCACCGGTTGCAGGTTAGTAAAATATAAAGTTTTTCATCATTTAAAGTGTAATCCTCGGTAGTATAGTGGTCAGTATCCCCGCCTGTCACGCGGGAGACCGGGGTTCGATTCCCCGCCGTGGAGTAGCGTTTTTATTATTTATATTATTATATAAATTTCCATATATTTTTTGAAAATTTATAAATGAATTTTAATTTTATATTATGTTCAATAATATCTTATTAAAATTATTGAACATAATGTAAAATTTATAGTTTTTTGGAAACAATAAATTTTTGGGATATTTATTAGTTAAACGAAAATTAATAAATGTATTACTAAAAATATAATACTTTGATACAAAAAATAAAACCTGAGGGATAGGAAGAAAGAGAATACATCAAATGGCGGACATTGCGGTTAGTCTTCTCTACATGCTCGCAGCGGACCACAATCACACGAGTAAAGATACGGAACACAGCTTCAGATGACTCGAAAGGCTGTCTGGGATTAAACCGTTAATAATTATTTTTATTATTACCTTACGACTATATATTAGGTATTTGTTATCATTATTATTTGATAAAATGTTTCATCACTGTATCACAAAACCGTAACACCTGTCAGGGTCAGTGGTGATTATAAAGTTAAAAGACAAAAAGGTAGTGGGCCAAAGCACATCATCCGTGGGGTGATTTATTAAAACTAGAGAGAAATGCAGTATATTGTGGTTAACACTGAATTTTTTTTTCAAACCAAACTTTATTTATTTAATTATTTAGTTACGTAAAATCCATATAGCATGCACCGCATATCTTGTACCAAGGTCGCATAAAATGGGCGAGGTGTCTGATGCATAACATGACAGAGACGGTGGAGAGTGTTTCTGCCCATCCTGTGCTGCGCGCGCTGCCCGCCGCTTCTGATATGATGCGCAAATACTCCACCACTCGGACTCTAATTCTCAACTACGAAGAGACTATGCGCGCCGTGTGGATGAACCAAAACGTAAGGAAACCTTTGAATCCTTCAGAAAAATCATTAAATTAATTAATATTTATTATTTATTGGTTCTATCCTAACAAATATTAATTTTAATTATTTTTCTAAATTACCAGATAGCAAGCAACCGACTTGGTTCAACATAAAAAAATTCTAAAAACATTGAATTAATTCCTGTTCTTAATCACATTATCAATAACCAAAATGCATTTTTAACAAAATATATTTATTATTTATGTTGTCACTTGGTTTCTTTCTAACTAAGATTATATCTGATATAATTGAGAATATCCAATAGACTGTTTTATAGTACAAAACACAATTTTATGATGCAGTGGTAGTTCGGAGACTGTAGAGAATAAGAGAAAAAGAGTCCATCATCTTCATATATAAACTCCTCGACAATTCCACAACAATAAATAATTTGAATAGGTAATTTAAATCAGCAAAAATAATATTGTTTTGTACAATGATGATAACAAAACTTAGGTTTACTAATCTGTGTACACACCGGCACATCATCACTATTTTATTAGCTAACGATACGAAGTGAAATATTACGTTCACAACTACTAGGAGTCCATGGATATCAAGAAGTAACGAAATTAGGGTAAACAATACTTTATAATACCTTATGTGAAGTAATGAAAAAAAATTGTTTATAGCTCAGTTTTTTGTATGTATGAAAAAATAATTCTTGGCTTCAATCTATAAACGTATGACGGCTGGGTACCGGTCTCCTCTCATTTCTATGATAGTTATGGAGCGATTAGTCCGCCGTCCTCGAAATATTTACGTCTTCTCAGATATGCCACGTTTTCTCACGATATGTTCCTTTACTGCCAAACAACGCGATTTACCGCGGGCGATGAAGGAAAAAAAATCGTGCCTAAAAATGCAAAAAAACAATTTCATCGGTCATTTCGTATCGTAGAAAAATAAAAAATAAAAAAAAGCTAGCCCAAAAAGTAGCGAACAGTCCCTAGCGACACAAATGTTCGGATAAGCATTTTAAAATATCCCACACTTTTGAATTAGTTGATTGACAGCTGCGGTTGAGGTGCGTTTTCTACTGCTACAAGTCTGGTAAACGATTGCCTCGAAACATTCAGATTTAAGACTATGTTATGTCCAACAGTATACTGTTGATTTGAAGGTGGTAACTAATAGTATATTGGTGATAACGACAGTGACTTATTCTATGTGGTTTTACTTCACTATATATATTTTTTAAAACGTTACCCCCCACGCATTCCTTTTTTTTTTGTTTGTTTCACTATATTGAATAAAAAGGACGTATCAAAAATAATTTTATCCCTTCACCGGGTTCGCTGAAGACGATACCCCGAATATTTCTAATCTAATATTTCATTTATTTATTTCTTTAACACTAGCTGGTTGGTACCCGGCGCGTTGCAGCCGCAGAAGAAATAATTACGCAAATATCGTTTTAATGTTGTTTATTTGGGAATGATAATACATTTTATTGAAGTTGAATGATATATCATAACGTTCAAATAAATTTGTCGGTACGACATAACCTTCGCGGATGTGCAAGCAATAAGTTGACAAAGTTTTAGCGCAATCTGATGAACGGTATGGCAACGCATAAAATACGAACAAACAAAAACTTAATTATCATTTATTTTTTTAATATATATTAGATAATTTAAATGTACAATATTAAAGTTTTACAATCTGCCAAACTGCTCAGCAGTTTGTTGGCAGAAATAAATGCTCTCTTACTCACTAACATGCAATATACACACTCAAATATAACAAATCAAAAGTATCAATATAACCGTAATTTAAATAACAACAGCATTTTATATATTATGCATAAATGAATGCATATACCACGGAGCAAATATGTACAAAAACTTTGTACCTATTTGCTCCGAGGCATATACACATACACTTACGAGTATGCATATACATACATAACTACAGCTTATATTGTTGTATAATGGATCATCACGATACATGTCAAATTCTTACTACATAATGGTATTAAGTTTTTTCACTTATTTTTAAATTTTTGTTTTACATGTTAGGCATTCTTCCGGTAAATTATTATAAACTAGCTGTTCCCCGCGACTTCGCACGCGTGGAATTTTTTTCGCGCAGCACTCTAAAATAAATGTAGCCTAAGTTACTCCTTATAACATCAGCTATCTACCAGTGAAAGGTTCATCGGTTCACACGTTTTTGTGTGATGGGATGTTATATTTTGGGTACAGAAATTGTTTAAAATCGAATCATTAAGATTCGATTTTTAAACAATTTCGTAATACATTTCTATAATCTTGTAGATTATAGAAATATATTACAATAGTTTAAAAAATTGTAGACTTATAATTAAACGCGAGTGAAGCCACGGGTAAAAGCTAGTACATTCATACAATAACAATTCAAATGAGAAAACTATCGCTGGTAAAAGGTGTGGTTTTTCATGCGGTGACGCCTGTAATTCTTTTATTTGGACGAGTTAAAAATGGAAAAAAAAGTAATAGACATATTTGGATGTGAACGTATGTAGAAAAATAAAAGCTATTTTCACTGTGGACCGTGGTCAATATGTTATTAAAATGTCCCGAAGTGTTTTTGAACTACTTTTAAACTCTCAGACATAGTTCTTACATACAAACGAAATAGAAGAAAATTGACAAGTAATCCTAATATTTGGTTCACTACCTCTGACGACTGTAGCCTGACAACTATTACTCAAAAATTGCTTGTTTAATTACATTCTAAATTGTAATTACATTATAATTTGCTGTTCTTGTGTGGCTAAGGTACAATATTTAATGATAATTGGTATTCATCAAATAACAGGAATTTATACCTACGTGTTAAGAGGTGAAAGAAGTTTGTCCGTTTCTTCCATCTGCAGGAAACAACAACCTGTATAATATTTATTTAAACACACTACGTGGGGTATATTTACCTTAACTTACGCCACTCAGACAATAAAATAATTTAAAATTAAAGATTTTGTACAGCCGACTTCAATACAAGTTATTAAGTATAACTCAAAAACTATTGGCCTGACCTTGACCAAATTCATATGGGACCACACGAGAAGTACCAGCTTTCAAATAAAAAAGAATCATCGTAATCCGTTCACGCAGTAAAAAGTTATGAGGTAACACACATAAAAAAACATAGAGTTGAATTGAGTACCGTCTCCTTTTTAGAAGTCGGCAGATATAATGATATACGACATACAGTAGGACGTGTGAATAGGCTATTTTGAATTGTAGATGAGACGAGACGACTAAATATTTATTCCAGGGTAGCTTGACAACTTAAAAATTTTAACTTTATTTCCAGCTTTGGGATGTCGACGACAGTCTGAACAATACGCTTTTAAAAATAGACGAATTGGGTCGTATAGCAGTAAACTTAGATCACACAATCAAGCTGTTGATCAGAGAGTCTGACTGTCTCATTAAAATGGGAATTGACCTCCCTATTGTGTGTCATTCGCTTTACGCTAAAAATAATTACTTCACTCTCGTTAACGATTCTTTGCAGGTTAGTATTTACTATTTAGTAATAAATTACAATATCGATGCTCTTTATTTAACTTTAACTTCATTTGTGCAACATGTTTATGATTTTATTATCTAAAAGGGTTTTAACGACGGTTTAAAAAATATAGTATTTTTTAAGACACTATTGAACAAAATTAGAAAAATGGTTATGGTAATAAAATATGTACTTAAATCAAAAACTTAAACTAAGGTTAAAACATTGTTTGTTCATAAATTTAAAAAATACTTATCTAATCTTTATTATTATGCTATAAATAAATCTTTATTTATACATTTGTAAAAGGCTTTAAACAATTCCTTATTGGCAGTTCCTTTTGGAGGACTATCTCGCGACTGTGCGTCGTGTGAAACTTGAAGTGCGGCCACTCTTTCTACCGCAAGTAGTGCGACTCTCCTCCCTTCTACTACCCGGTCTTAAAACAGTCACATGGACAAGCGAGGACTGGAAGGAATTCATAGACCGTGCCAATTCGGCTATTAAAAGCTTTGATGTCTTAGTTACTAGAGTCCATGATATATATACGAATAGAATTATTTACGTACTGTCTGGTATGCAGGAAGTTTCATTAGTAAATTTGCCAGGTAAGGCGGTATCAAATTATTTAAATGCTAAAAATTAAAACAAATGAAGTGTTATATTATTCATACAACCATAATTTTTAAAGTGTTAGTGTTGTATTCTATGAATAGTTTTATCAGAACATTGAAAAATCGGTCCTTTTTAAACTTTTATCCGTTAAATTATATCATCGAAGATGTGGTTGCAAAGACACCTCTAATATACCTAGATGTCTTATACGTGGTAGAGCCATGCTGCAGCTATATTAGTAGTATAGTTGTAGCACGAATGGGTCGGCTCGACCGGGAAAGGACCACGCTCTCACAAAATACCAGCGTAAAATAGCAGCTTAACGCTGCTGTGTTTCGTATGGTGAGTGTAGAGAACTGGAGACCCTTTTTACTGGAAAAGAGGCATTCCATATTAGTCCTCACGGGTGACAACGCATCTGCATTTCGATTCTTTACTGAGGATACATGTGGATGTCTATGGGTCACAGCAACCACTTACCATCAGGTGGGCTGTGTGCTCGTTTGTCACCCTATCCTATAAAAATGTTTCTTGTTAACCTTTACGACACGGAGTGACGTTATATTTTTATGCCATCACATGTTATATTAACTCCATTACAGTCATGTTTATGGTATTTCACTTAAAGTTTTGAACTGCTCTTGACCAAGCTTTAACATGTCTTCAAAATTTAAACCGTGAAAACACTTTAAAGAAATTTAATTTCCAAACCAGAAGTTTTCAAAAAATAGTAGTCTGATTCGATTTTAATTTTTTTATATTTCAGAAGAAACGCCTTGGTCTGTAGAAGAATTTATAGAACACGTGGAATCTGGAAGTCGGTAAGAATAAAAAACATAATACATTTATAATCCTAGCTAGTTACGACCTGCACCAGGTGGTTGGCAGAAGTGGCAGGTGCTGGAAGAGGACATTTATAATTGATGACAACTATAACAAATAATGAAAAATTGTTTGTTTTAACGCACTGTATTTCAGACTACATCTTCTTTTAGAACATACTTGCGAGCTATATTATAATAACTTTTCCCGCGGCTTTGCTCGCATGAACTTCGCCTTACCTACTGCCATTTTAACATCATTGGTGTGCCATGCCAAAGTTTACAACGTTCTTCTGAGACTATTTCACTATAGCAGTTAATCGGAAATGGTCATGAAGCTTAAAATTTGTACTTTAGACATTTCTTTATAATTTTGTGAGGTTGCAAAATTATTTTTTTATTTTTTTTTTCAATACTAGTTATGCTATTAAACATTACTAATATTCCCTTTAACTACTTCTGGTAAGCTTAAAATGCTTATGTTAGAAGTGGTTCACTACAGTAGTCGAATGGTGGATTCGAACCCACGACCTTTCGAGTTCGCGGTCCGCGCCCTGCCATTAGGCTACTGACGCTTCTAATATTACTAATAAGGTATGATTAAAAGCAAGTGGTATTCCTTGGGCGAGGCCTATGTTCAGCTGTGGACTTGTGTAGGGCTGTGATGATGATGATGATGAAAGGCAACTTATAATAATTTGCACTGTTTTTGATTCTCTGACGCCTCACCGCTTCAATGCGTGTTAGTGATTTACAATGTATGAAATACTAGCTGACCAGGCAGACGTTGTTCTGCCCTTCCTGAGATGACCCTTTCTCCAATAAAAAAAAATCTTTAAATATTTCTATAATTCCTAATAAAAAATGTTAAGGGTCACTTATCGGGATAAAAACTATCCTATCTCTCAAGTAGGACCAAACTGCACACAGTGGGCAAAATTTCATTGAAATCAGTTAATACTTTAGGAGTTCATCGCGGCCAAACAACGTGACACGTAATTTTTATATATATAAAGATTATTTGAAACTTCTCAGACCGACATGATTTTCTTCATCGTCGAGCACATGAAAAATAGCACTTGAATTTATAATCAGTTTTTAATGGACAACCAATAGCCAAGGGTGGAAAACGAATACGAAATTTCAAACCGAATTTTATCTAACAGTATACTTAATTCTGGATTACCTACATAGATAACTTGATAGTAAAAGAAGTTCTCAAACTTTTTTCAATACCGATAGATACCTAACATATTTATCTAAAGGACTTCACACCTAATTAATTTTATGTTACGCAGTATCACTTACGACAGTATCCAAGTAAATGGTGTCTGATATAATAATAAAAAATATTCTTTATGACAGCAACGCATGCGTCGAATTAAATCGCAAGAGTTTGATGGTTGAAGAAGCCGTTGAAGAGGTCTTGGATTTGGTGAAAAAAGCCGCGCAACAAGTTATACCAGCCGAGATTAATCCGGACTTCGAGTTTCTGATCGCTGAAGGTTAGTCACGGATCTAAACTATACAGTAACAGAAACAGACAGAAACAGAAACTTTTTATTCAATATAGATTATATAAAATACTTATTGAAAGTCATTCTTTTGTTTAATTACCACTGGTTCGAAAAAAACCTCTGTCCTGAGAAGAACCAGCAAGAAACCCAGCAAGACTATTTTTTAAATAACAGCTTACAGTCATGTATGTTACACAATTAACAACACGACAAATTAGAAATAGCTAGAAATAGCGATCACCTCATTCCCAGGGGTTGTTATCATCCACATCAGTTAAAACAAATATCACCGTTACCATCACTGTTACAGACTAAGTCCATAGCTGAATATAGACCTCTTACATAGATTGCCTCATATTTGCCATAGTTGCCATGTTTGGCAAGCGGGTCGGCAACCGCAATTTTTATTTTTATTTTTAGTAGGTATTAGGGAGACGCTGCTGGCCATTTCCTGATTTGTATCCCCCCGTCGCCTCTTAAATTTCCACATTATGGATGATATAGGGTATTGGATATTCTTAAATCGCCATTACGTAATCCGTATTATATAATATACTGTTACATTTTTTATCAAATTTAGTCAAAAACGTCATACTAAGAAAGAAAACGAATTTGTAAAAATTCACAGTGTGACAATGGAATCCAAAAAGATTAATTTGATACATAGATGATCCACAAAGTGGCAGTGGAGCAACGTCTACACTCAACGAGTCGACGAGTAGCGGACAGCAGGACTGGTCCGCAGTGTGGGAATGTTTTGAGAGTCGGCATAAATTGCTGTCAACGCCTGCGGGTGGTCTATCCAAGAGTATGCAGGTAAGAAATACATTAATTTGTAATGTCAATAATCATGTAATCATCAATTCTCCTCTGTCCAAAGTATGCCTTCCAAAACCACCTATTTAGGGACAACACAACCTTTCACATGTGTTTGAGCATGTACGAAACTTCCTTATTTATTTTAATCGTGATGGTGTTGGTGGCTGTTACCAATTATGAATGCAAAAAATCTCGTTGATTGTGTCGGTTCTAGATAAAATGTAAGGTGTTTTGATATTCACACTAAAGCCACAGGCCGCACCTACAAACTGACTTAGCTCCTTAGGCATTTATTGGTACTTTAGCTTACACTGAACCAAAAAGCAAAGCTAAGCGAACTTACTTTGAATTAAGTGGGCTAAATACCTGACGGTCTCGATTAACCTATGTAAATTGTGCCAATTCAACATATTATTGTCACGCACTACATCCTGTGCGAATCCAAATCTTTTAGCTCGCCTTAGTTTAGGTTAGCGCGAAGTTGCTTGAACTTAAAAACTTCATCACCGCACGTGACGAGGCATGACTGTTCAAGATGCGTTCAAAGAATGTTTAAGTCTTAGATTAATGATAGGTCATCGCGCGCTCTGACTAGATACCGCGCTACTTGAAAGAAACAGCTCCGTGAATACGGCAACTCAATATCCTAGTGTGTATAAGACAATTGCAAGGATGCTAGTGTGCGTGAAAAATTGTATATGCCAGCAGCTTAACTATTACCCGATTAACGGGAAAAATTATTTTATGCTATGGCTTAGTAGTTAAGTTCATAGTTATGACTGTAGACCAGAAATACTTAAAAATGAATAATTTATTAATAGCGAATGTATCAATATATTTATATATATTATGTATAGGTTTTTCGTCTGAATAAATGGCATATAAATGATAAGGCCTCATTTTTAACAGTATTATTTTTTATATTTAAATGTCTGACTAATATTCACAAATTATTTAAAAAAATAGTTATATATTATATGGTGTAATGAAAATGTTATTTTTATTATATGTTGTTATAGCAATAATAGCCAATACACATTCTGTGAAAATTTCAAGTATCTACATATTACGGTTCATAAAATACAGCCTGCTGACAGACAGACGGAACGATAGTGGAAACTTAAGTCCCGTTGACATTCTTTGGGCACGAAACCCTAATAAACGGAAATAATGTTTTAATAATAAAAATAACAATTAATAAAACAACATATAAATATTAGGTCATTTGAGCAATACTACAAAAATAAACATTAAATAATAGAATTAGGTTATATTATAATAAGTTAAATATATTATATTATAAAATATAGTAACAATAAATTCACATATAAAAATCTTAGCCACGGGGAACTTTATTTTTGTATACGCCGCAACACTGAATGGCGTTTTTCATATTTAGTAACTTATTTATTGGCTCGTGTTATTTTATGTTGATATTTCGAAATTATGATACTTACTGATAGTATGTGATCCCAGTGTCTTTCTTATTTCTTGAAGTATTATTTTTACACAGTTTCACTACGCAAACTGGTATTTATTATGATTATGATCAAAATTTAATAAAATATTCGGTACGTCCACATTACATATCGCCAGCAACGCGACTGGCTCGGGTACGCCGATTTCGGCGTAGTATTTGTTGCCGCATTTTACAAGAGCGCCGGCGGTATCTAGTCAGAGCGCGCGATGACCTATCATTAATCAATGGTTTAAGTAAATTATTAATACTACATTATTATTTAATTTCGACCTATACAAGAAAGCTTAACAAATTCTGTTTAATGTATTTTTAGATAAAAATACAAAAAATTTTCATTTAATAGGAAATGGTAAAAAATGCTGTGAGCGAAATGCGCCGTTACTACAGTAGAAAAGTTGTTGACGTCCTGATCAAAGTAACGCGTCGGGCCCTGGACCTGATCATCAAGCAGTTTTCACCGGACGATGACGCCATTGGTAATATTATCTTCCGCTATCTAACTATGCATCGCATCATCATCATTCATCATTATTTTATCAAAAATGTAAATATTAAAGTTTGAGTTAGACAATAGGAGCCCACACAAACCAAGAACTTGTAAGAGCTTATCAAAAGGATTTTTTTTGTTCATTTACGATTTCAAACATGGAGTTAAAATTGAAGACTAAAATGAAATGCCACATAGAATGTAATTATATTGCTCTCTTGTTCATCAAGTCGGAAATCAGCAGTACGTGCCTGGCGAAAGAAATAGGTAACTCAAGTCGAATCCCAAACAGAAAAGGAATCGAGAGCGCGATAAGGTACCCTTTTTATCGGGGGAAATGTTTTTATAATATACGTGGAAACACGCCTTGAGTCCGTCCCTAAACTTGTCAACTTTGCAAATAAGATCTCCTTAATATTTCTTGTTTCCTGGTATTTCTCTTTGAATCCCACGTTTCCATTTGTGGACGCATGCGTATTATAACCTAAACCACGTGATGAGAAAGAGAGTCCTAAAATAAGAATAAAATTCTTATAGCTGTACTCTTTATACATTATGATGTTTACATGGTACAAAATAAGATAGCTATATTATTCTCACCTTCTTTATTTTACAAGGTTGTTGCCGTTCTTCCATTTCATAGACACATCTATTGATGTTCCATTAGCGAAACAACAAACGTTGTCGATAAATTCATTTGGTCTGTGACTTAGTAAAATTAGGAATTTTTATTATTCTGGTTCGTAACACTTATTTAAATCAATGAAAGTTTATGGAAGGTTCCACACAACAAAAACGTAGTAAACGTAGTAACTGGAATTTCGTACTAACTTTGAATAATTTAAAATATATCGTGAAAAGATCGCAATGAAATCTTCTTAAATTCAGCCAGTATATTTCCGCCAAATTATCCTTTGGATTATTATGGGTTTCATAGGGAATAATAACTGTGTTTGTTTAATCGACACTGGGTTTACTTCCCGGAACGTACACAGAGGGCACTGCTACGATAGTACAATAACAGCGGCACTACCGCGGTCTGTCTTCTCTTTTGTCTTTTGTCTTTTGCAGATAAAGCTTTGTTGAATATAGTCGATGGCTTTCCGTCGAGATCTAGAAAACAGTCATGCGAAGCCGAAGTTGTGCGTTAGTCAGCATATGAAATTGGGATTAAAAATGGGATCCAACTCGTTTACATACCGTGTGTCTGTCAAGACTCAGGCCCATAATAATAAACGGTACTCAACGACGTACAGAGTCTTTAGTAATGTTATAATTAGAAAACAATTTACTATTTTCTTTATATTTTTACACTTACAATAAAGTAATAAAAATAAATAACTTAACAAAAACGAGTATATCGATGTCGATTGTTGCTAACATTGCGAACTAAAGCACTACAGATTAAAGACGTCATGTCTCGTAAAGTAACATCAAAATATAAACCTACTACAATGGGGATGTCATTTTTCTAGTAAATCAGAAGATACGAGTGTACTGACTCTCATATTTAGCATAGTGTAAAGAGACCAAAGATGACCACTTTACATTTCTATTTCCACCCATGAATTAGACACAACTTCTTTCAATAGATTTGTCTCTTTTTGCCTTATTTGAAAATAAAATTAGGAAAAGCGAAACAAGTATATTGACTCAATTTATGTAAAATTGTAGGTTCTCTCTATGCATACGTATGTATGTAATTACTATAAGGATGAGAGTATTATATACACATTACACACACACAACTATTATAAAATCACATATTCATATTATATAGAGCAACACGGGCCACAGCCGGCTCCGATCTAACGATACACGATACACATTCAAGCGGGAATTTCAGAGAATAGATTTAGCCTCTTAGTAGTTTCTGTTTCCTGGGTATAGTTGCGGATAGGAAATTCTCATTTATACGCATGTATTTTTCCAAACTTTAGAATTAGAATAGAATGATTTTTATTCAATATGGATTATTTACATAATACTTATTGAATGTCATTATTTTATTTACCACTGGTTCCAGCGGGACTTTTTTTTAAACATAATTTCACTTAACAATAATTTTGTTTATACAATTGTAAATGAATTTTCATGGAACCAGCATGGTGGCGATCACCTTATTCCCAGGGGTTATTTTCATTCATGTATTCCTTGATATTATAATAACCCTTTTTGTACAGTTTTTCTTTAATAAAACTTTTAAACTTGTTTATTGACAAACTTTGAACATGTTCTGGGATTTTGTTGTAAAAGCGTATACATTGCCCCATAAATGAATTACTAATTCTGTGGAGTCTAGTAAGTGGCATTACAAGCTTATGTTTGTTCCTAGTGTTTAAGGTATGAACATCCTTATATCCATATATTATTAAAGCTATTTATGTTTTTATGTACATACATTACATTTTCATAAATATATTGCGATGCCAAAGTTAATATGTTTATTTCTTTAAATTTTTCTCTGAGGGACTCTTTACAATTTAGATTATAAATCGCCCGTACGGCTCTCTTTTGCAAAACAAATATAGCTTCAATATCAGTCGCATTACCCCATAGCAAAATTCCATAAGACATTACGCTATGAAAGTAACTAAAATACACTAACCTAGCTGTCTCTACATCTGTGAGACTTTTAATCTTTCTTACAGCATATGCTGCAGAACTAAGTCTGCTTGCTAATTTAGATATATGGGGGCTCCATTGAAGTTTCGCATCAATAGTAATACCGAGAAAAACAGTGGTTTAACTTCGTTGCATGCAAGTTTGGTTGGTTATATTTATAATAATTTGCGTGTCTCCCGTCACCACTAATCCCAGCACCACTACTCCCAATACCGCTACACTATTAAAGGCACACCACCGTCGATAGTACGACACGTATTTTTCCTCTATACGAGACATCCTCAGGTGAAATACATAGACTCCTCTGCCGTAATTGAACGCTAAGATATCCTAATATCCTAATATAATTAATAATTCTAGGCTATGTTCGGGGTTTCTCTGCGTGATTGACTTAAAAATGAGAATATCCGCAGTAGAACCAGAGTAACCGACATAGCCTAACGGATTAGTAAGCTGAAGTGGCAATGTGCCGATCATATAGCTCGAAGAAAGGATGAAAGGTTTCGAGTGGCAGCCTCGTAACCGGTAGACGTATCAGGATCAGAATTTTTGCCATAGTTGTTACAAACTTGTACTAGTTGTAAAAATAGTAGAATTACAGTCTTCTCTACATAGTATTAGATAATGGTTCAGATTCACAATTGGACCTGGTAGGTAGCGTTGTTATCGAGATCCAGAAATCAACCGTGCGAAACCGGGGCGGATCGCTAGTGTATATTAAAAGTAATGTTTGACGACCTTCATCAGATTATAATAAATAATGTCCTCCAGACCCAAAAATAGTCACGGCGGCCAGTCTCAGCGGAGACTAGCCATCTACGCAGGACAAGATTATAGGGCCAAAGTGGATGTAAGGTGCACTCTTTATTCCCTCACTCTCATAGTCCAATGGGTAAGCCGACATGACTGGAGCGAGATCAGGCGCACGACCAACGATCTACTCTACTAATGACTCCCGACTAGTCTAATGACTGTAATTCTACTGTTTGGCAAGCGGGTTGGCAACAGTTTTCATTTTTAGTGGTGGTTTGTTTACCTCTGTCGTCTCTTACTACACCCACGGGATGATATTGTGGAGTAGTGAATACTCTTACACCGCTACTACACTATGTTGAACTGCATGGAATTTAATTATTAAAATATTGTTTGTACTATAGCGTGCTCTGTGTGTACGAACCACTCAGAGCACGCCATCTACTACTGTTACGCAGCGAGAGGTTTTCTTGTATTTCAAGGTTCAGCTTGTTGGTGGCGCTGGTCATTGCGTATCAAGCCGGCGCGGTATACGTTGAATGTGATCCAATGTAGGTCTTGTAGATATCGATGTTGAATTTTGTCTTTTGGTTTTAGTGTGGATTGGAATATCGGTCGTAGTAGTTCTCGCTGATCGGACCGACTCGTTCGAAGAGTTTATAAAATTCTCTGCAAGAATATTTCCACTGTTTACATACAGTATATAAAAATATCAACCTACTCAAGGCATACGTTGCCACTTTGTGGCGCATGCGTATTCAGTCTCAAACCACGAGTCTAAGTTGTGAACAGATGAAGCCTTATTTTGAATGTGGTAAGGTTCATATTAGCAAACAGTTTAAAAAATAAATTTTATCTTCTCGCAATTACTGCTTACCTGGTAGAGATGCGGAAATAAAATTCTCTCAAACATCCGCAAGGAAAAAAACTCATCAAAGTTTGACTGACCCTAGAATTTCTGAATTTTTAATGCCAGACCGGTTAACAAATTAAAAATCTTTAAAAAAAAATATACTGTATGAAGTGCAATATTTGCTGCCTTAACTAATATTGAAGGGAACAAATAAATGTGCAATGTGGATATCATAAAAATGATAAACCTCCTTTGCCACCTAGTTCCTCATCCGATAAAATTTTGTTGGACAATTGGAAATAAATTTATTTTCTTTCATTTTCGTGTCGTGTTGCAAAATTGGTAAACTATACTGAAACAGGTAACATTGGAATAAGAAAACTTTAACAATGCGCATTTATGGTGACCTGAGATGTGATGAGATTGAGAGTGAGTGAGAGTATAATTATCATAGTCATGAAGCTATTGTACAGTCATCGGTTTGCTAAATTTCAGTATGTCCAGAAGTGGGCGGAAACCTGAGGCTAGGACTGAATTATAATATATATTGAGTATATTAACTAATAAAAATATATATATAACTATAAAAAATATTTACTATAATCCGAATCTTAAATGATCACAATGTATTTCGACTACATAACTTTTGTACTGTTAATTTATTTACAATATTACGATTATAACCGTGTAATGGCGGTGTGTATCCACTACCCCGTGGATGTCTTAAAAAACGACAGAGGGAAACTGAGCCAGGAGATGGAAAACAGCATCTTCCTGATAACAGTTGAATAAAAAAACTGCGGTTGTGACTACCTAGTTACCACAACTATCCCTTGCTAGTTACCACAACTATATCAAATATCCCCCTATGAGAAAATAAATTTGGAGACCTATGTTTAGCAGTGAACTCATGATAGAGAGTCAAAATTTATACCAGTTTTTCAGTCCCTTAGCTTTTAAACACTTAAAGTTTAAATGAAATCGATGTAGTAGTTTTTGGTGTTCGAACAAACAAGCAGGCAAACGAAATATCCATAAACGGTGATTTGGACTCAGTGACACCTAAACATCATATCCGTAACGTTTAGTTTTGTAAATCTTGTGTTAAAAAAATCTTTATGACGTACATGGCTTCATTGTTCTTAGGTCTGAAATTAACAAATACTTTATTAATGTTTCTCCAGGGTGAGGAGTCGCTAAAAACTGAATTAATAATATGAATTACCTCAGTTCTATAATATCACTAAGGTCAGTTTATTTTGCGCTTTCTTGCACCACAGTTTTTTTTTCATATTGTTGTTATCATAAAGGACGGAGCAGTTTTGTTGCTTTGTAGATATTTCTGTATATAAATATTCTTATATTTTTATTATTGTTAAATTAACTTAGAACTCGAATTAATGTACTATCTTTCATTCTGTATAAAATACCGCGTACTTAACCTATCCGTCTAAATAGAAAATATGCGCTTCATATGTTTATGAATGAGTAATCCACTTAGTATTTTTTTTTTGTAATTGCTTTATTTTGTATATAATCCCTGCATTCTGCATATTATTTACATGGGTAATTTTTCCATCGGTTCTCGATGCCATGTTGCCAATCTAGGACGCATGCGTATTTTGAATCTAACCACGTGTCCGAGTGCTAAGTCAATAACACGCTTAAAACGCATCGCAATATAGACCTTTATTTATGAACGAGTAAGATTCAAAATAGCAAGCGATTTGGTAGAATAAATTTTACCTCTTCGTGATTACTATCTGCCTGGTACAGCTGCGGATAGAAATTTATCTCAAACCCGCACGCAGATTCCTTGGCTGAATAGATAGATTAATACTTACTCCTGACATACATATAAAAGTTTACAAATGGCCCCTAAGTATATTAATTTTGTTATACAGATCAGGCAAATTATAAATAGGTTCTCAAATTATTTCATTCCAAAGTTTAACTTCCGCGTTTGAATTAACTTGAAACTGAAAACATAATCTATCAATTTTTTAATGAGTTGGTTTCTAAATTTGTACAAGGGCTGAAAAAATTAGGGTTGGTATTTTTTTTTATAAGAGAGGGGGCAAACAAGCATGCGGCTCACCTGATGGTAAGTAACTACCACCGCCCATGAACAACTGCAACACCAGGGGAATTGCATGTGCGTTGCCGAACTTTTAGAAAGGAGTAAGCTACAAATCATGTATAACGTCCATGTCACACCTATGGCGGTAGTTGTTGGGAGCAATAGGCTCGAAGTTGTTGACGAGTATGTTTACTAGGGACAAATAGTCCGACTAGGTAAGTCCAACTTCGACCGAGAGGTCAATCGACGGATTTAACTCGGGTGGGCAGCGTTCATACATTGCAACATACTTGACATTTGATGGCATTGATATGCAGATGAAATAGCGTTAGTGATAGCACGCAGCCTTGTGGAACACCAGCATTAATAGGCTTGTAATCGGAGCATGCACCATCCACAACGACCTTGATACTCCGATCTGCAAGAAAGCTGGTGATCCAATTGCACAATTTCTCGGGAAGCCCATAGGAAGGAAGCTTCGAAAGAAGCGCTTTGTGCTAAACCCGATCGAAGGCCTTCGCTATGTACAAACTAACGGCTAATGCTTCCCCCTTGGACATGATCGGTTAAACGTGAACCGAGCCATTTGGCGCGGTGGGCGTTAAAATAGCCGAGGATCACGATCTCTGCGGATGGGATCTGCTGTAGCAAGGAATCTGTAACCATTTGGACATGGTCGTTGAGTCAGTCTGTTTCGGCATTACCGCTATAGGACTTATAGAGGCACCCGTAGGCGCGTTGACGGTTGTCGCTGGCCACGCGTAACCAAAGGATGGATAGGTCCGAACCTACATGACTGCCGAGGCGTCGAGAACACGTGTACCTTGGAGTTAAGTCCCCCGATGTTGCAGAAATTCACGTATAGCGTGGCAGGGGTTGCCTTGATCTTGTTGCTCAGCTTGCAGTTATTGTCAAAAACGCAATTTTGCGGATTTTATGAGGAGAGCCCTTTCATCACATAGGATGGGCTAACCTTAGATAAAACAAAGAATGAGTTATGGGCAGTTAGGTTGTCATGATCAAATTAAACACTGTAAATGAAATATACAAAATTAGTCAATATTGACACACCTATACATACAAACATTTATACATATTAATTTGAATTAATGCAATATTTATATATGACTAAACATACACACATAAATGCTATAATAAACATGGAAATCAAAAGGCTCTTGCGAAAAATACTATAAATATCAGAGAAAGAAAATTTTACTTAAGCACTGGTTTATTTATTTTTTTCTATATATTTAAATCTCTTCGTATTTTAACTATGAATAAAACTGTATTGATAGAATTTTAAAAATCACTTGTCAAATACGGTAATTGAACCGATCCACACATAAGTTACGTAAGTAACACAAATTCGATCCTCGCCAACAGCATTCAAATTTTAATTGCAATTTGAAGTGTTGATTTACTACGTTCTCGGCGGGGAAGAAAAATATTGCGAGGATACCTGCATAACCGAGACGTTAAAGAAATATATATTTAAACACATTAAACGTGGACTCGGTCATCCCAAGTTGAATCAGCGCAGCAAACTTGTCCTACCACAAAACCCTCTGTGACCTGTGCATAGTAGTGGGGTGTATAAGTAGGCTTCTACTTTTTACTTTTGAAATGATAAATAAATAAAAAACTTGAATAAGGTTATTTTTTGCGTAGTTTTAATTGTATTCATCTTTTCGGAGATATTACACTTTTGTTTTCATTCTAGGCAATTATTAACGGTATTGAAGATGAGTAGAACTCATATCTGTTAACTTTACAGTCTATGACAAGTCCTTGCTTCATAGGCTAGATATTTGCGGTGGTAGCCACGCTTGTCAGGCGCTCTACCAACGGCAGTTTTTATTTCATTCATCCGTCATTTATTTCAGTTTTCCCCTCTCGCCTCTTACGACACCCATGGGCTGATATGGTGGATTCTCTTACGAGCGAATGGAAGAGATGTAGTGTATTCACATTCATTAATATAGTTATTCTCACGTTCACCGTAAAAAGAACTATATATATGAAACTATATTTTTATTTTAAAGTCTACTCAAAAATAAAATAATACCAGTAAGTTTCATTTTATGGAGCCAGTCAACATTCAATAGGGCAAAAGATATGCACCGAATATCACCAATAAACATTATGCCGTAAGTTAATAGATCACCATGAATCTCAACAATATTTTATGAAAACTAAATTAATATTAATTTCAAATGAATGTACAGACTCACTTCTGCCACAGAATAAATAATAGTACCTTTTGCATTCCCTATAGCATAAGTTACTATGACAAATTTCAATCATCTACGTTAAATTGTTTCCGAGAAAATTCCTGTGAGAGTTAGACGTAGATACACAGACACCGAGGTGACTCCACAAGTGATCTAATTTGTTAATTTTGTCCCGTAACAATGATGATGTTTCTAAATAACAGGCCGATTCTAATGAGATTTCCGTTTTGGAGGGATCTTCCGTTTCGGACGGGCTTTTCGATGCGCAAGAACATTCTGTTTCGCAGAAACCATCCGCGCTGTATTAGTTATACTTCAACTACGCGTTAACATTACATACACTCATTTGTTTTTCTTGTATCAGGTCAACAAAAGAAACCAATATTCCTGCTACAAGCTACGCTGATGATACCTAACGTGTCAGTTAAGCCGACGCTAGAAGAAATCCAAGATGTGTTAGTGCTTGCTGGGAAGCACATATCGGGTCTATCAAAAGGCGTTTCACAATGGATAGGAAAGTCATCTAGGGTAAAACTCTTAAAAATTATCAATGATAAAATAACATAGACTCAAAGAATAAAAAATAAAACAATCGTTGGTTTATCCCCTATTACATTAAACATCATCCAGATGACAAAAATCAAGAAAAATATAATACAAAATGCCTTTTTACTTACGAATCATGTTATAAATTCTCAATTGCAAAGAACATTTTTAATGCTAGCAAAGATGGCAAGCGAGCACACATTCTATCTAATGTTAAGTGGATGTTGTCGTCCATAGACAGGCAATGCTGATATGTTATCATTTCTGAGAACTATGATGGAATGCCTCTTTACCAGTAGAAAGGGGTTCCGGTTCTCTACACTAACCATAAGATAAACACTATATCTATCATATAATTTAATTACCCGAATAATAACCTACAGCTGCAAATTCGTCCTGTATTAAGCCAGGCGGATGTTTCGAGTATCACTTATGAGATGAAACGAAAGTAAAAGAAGGACTCTAAAAAACACTACAAAAATCAGAAAATTTAGACAGGAACAAAAACCCAATTGTCAACTCCAATAATTGAAATTCGACCACAGGATCCATGAGTCGGGAATTTTGACGACTAAATCAATGAAATTGTCAAAGTATATTCACTTTAATTATTTGATTGTGTTTGTTATAAAAAAAGTCACAGTATAGAACAATACATACTTAAAGCATATACATAACATAGCTTATATTTTATATTTGACAAAAATACCTAAACTTAAGCATTATTCTAAATCTACTAATACCATTTACATAGTTTAAACTAGTTAATTATTACTCATTCTAATAACAAAATATTAAAATTTGATTTCTTTTCAATCTGTGATGTTAATTGTTTTGTATTGTCTGATATTTTGCACTCTACACTTCTATGTCCTCGATGGTGTTTCCGTCCGCAAAATATTCTATTATTTTCCATTTAATTTGCTTCATTTAAAATAACAATTTGCTTTGCACTCGATGTGCTTCATTTTGATTTCCTTCGTTTTTCACTGTAAATATCACTTTTAATTATTTTGTTTATTTTGTATTACATTTATTTGCTCCTGTATTGGTCTCTTCGCACGCGATTCCCATCCATCCAGGTGAGCTGGAAGAAGCTAGCGGGACACCATCCGAACCAGTTGCTAGAAGTAGTTACCAAGCTTGACGAACAGGTGCAATCAATGACAAATACGGCGCAAAAGTCGTCGAAGATGGTTGAAACGACGAAAATGAAAAAGAAGTACTACAGGTTGGAATCTGAAGAAAAACCGGTGTTTCCATTGCAACAAAAAAACTTCTATAGTCACGTCATGGAGAACAAAGAAATTGTGAAGACTTTAGCACTATTGTCAACTTGTACTCAAAACATTAAAGCTGTAAGTATTTTTTCATTTAATTAATTAATTTATTTAATTATTTATGAGTATTTAAAAAGACCACAAATTGTTTCAACATAATATGATATTACATCATAAATGAACTGAGACTATATTTCTATTGTCTTCTTGATTGCGATAAATACTTTCATTTTGTTGCAATCAAGAAGATAAGTGTTGTATCACGTTGTTTTTTAAGAAGAATCCTCAAGTAAACGATGAAACTTAAAATATACTTACTCGAATTACGAAAGTGTTATTAAATATAATTAATATCACAGGAATTAAACATATTAGTAAAGCGCTGGAGGCCATATCATTATCTGTGGAAATGCGAGAAAACTCTCCGCCAGTTGTTGGCGTGGAATTTAAATGATTTTGAATTGGCTTTAAAAAGGCATAGTGAGTTGGAGGCGAAGTTGGCCACGGAACCGGATGTTTTAATTATAGGAAACTGTTTGGCAGTCTCTACAGAAAAACTTAAATTAGGACTTACTACTGAACTTAAAAGTAAGCGACTTTAGTCATTAATTTATGTTCATGCATTAGTAATATTCAGTTCATGAAAAGTTGCGTATCGATTATGACGCCTTCATTAGTGTATCCATGCTAATAGTGTACTGTAATCCATTTGGCTTACGTGGTAGAGTCATGCTGCAGATATATTATAGTTGTAGCAGGAATGGGTTGACTCTAACGCTCCCACAGAATACCGGTGTAAAATAGTAGCTTAATGTTGCTGTGTTTTGTATGGTGAGTGTAGAAAACCGGAAAACCATTTTACTGGAATCGAGATATTCCATCTCAGTCCTCAGGAGTAGGATAGGATAGGAGGATAAATGTAGATGTCTATGGGCCACAGTATACACTTACCATCAGGTAGTCTGTGTGCTCGTTTGTAACTCTTATGATCATATGATCGTTTTTGAAACTGGCACAAAAAAAAAAACAAATTAATACGATAATAGATCCTCAAAACAAAAAATATTCATTTTTATAAAATTGTACAACAGCGTGTAATCATACCCGAGAAATTGGTAAGAGGTTGGAGCCTCCACAAATGAACTGCTAGGCTAAAAAGAAGTCCTACCATCTTTTAGATTAATTAAATTTTTTAATTGTGTTAAAAATTTTGTTGAACTTGCTTGTAACTTGTTTGCGCATTGTCAATCCTATATTATGCTGCCTAATATTTTAGATGGTACGTACAGAATAAGCCAAGCTATGCGTAAAAAGTACAAACGTGAGATGGACTACGTTTACGCTATAATGAATGACTTAGAGCGCAAGTTGGAGCGCCCTATCAGAGATTTAGACGATGTTAGAACGGTAATGGAAACATTAAAGAAAATCAGAGAACAAGAAGTTGATATGGAATTAAAAATTGATCCGGTTGAGGTAATTTATATTACTTAAATTAAAAAAAAAAAACTAAGCACGGAGCTGTTACTGATATTTAAAAAAAATAACAGCATCGCAAAACGGAAAATTCTAAGTTTAATAACTTCTACGTTTTAATAAGATAACCGTTCTAATTTTTAAACATAGGAAGCGTTCAATGTTATAACACGCTACGAACTCCCGGTCAGCAAAGAGGATATGGAGCAGGTGGACAATCTTCGCTACAGTTGGCAGCAGCTACAGGCGACAGCCCTCGCATCTCACGTCCAATTGCTCAAGATGCAACCGCAATTCGAGGAAGATCTTAAAAACAACTTGGATAAATTCCGTGAAGACAACGCCGAATACTGCCATGAATATAGACACGCCGGCCCTATGCAGCCCGGGTTAAGTCCGCGTGAGGCGTCAGATCGTTTGATATTATTTCAGGTGATGATACTACGTAATCCTAGGATTTTTTTAGTAGGCCTCAAATTTATGCTTTTTTCGTATTATCTTCATAATTTTTTTATATGATATAATATTTTACTCATTATTTTCATTATTCTAATCTCTGCTTCATTAACTTATGGAAGGCAATTCTTTTTCATTTGAATAAATCTATTTTATGAATAAAGTGGATTAATGAGTTTCCTTTTTATCAGAATCGATTTGATGGAATGTGGCGAAAACTACAAACTTATCAAAATGGCGAGGAATTATTCGGGCTGCCTCATACCGAATATCCAGAACTCGCTCAAATCAGAAAGGAATTAAATCTGCTACAAAAACTATATAAACTATATAATGACGTAATTGATAGAGTCAACAGTTACTATGACATACCGTGGGGTGAAGTCAACATAGAAGAGATCAATAACGAGCTTATGGAGTTCCAAAATAGGTGTAGGAAATTGCCTAAAGGGTGAGTTTATCAATTTTAAGTCAACTAAAAGTCAGTTGTGATATAAATAGATTTTTAATAAAAACGCTATCTCACTGCTGGGAGAAGTTAGTGTAGCATAAACAACGAACTTTAACGATTTTTCTGTCGTTACCAATATTTCGTTTTTATTATCCATATAATATGAAAAAATATCATGGAAATTTATTTCATGCCCCATGGCTAGTCAGAAAATCAAAAATTCAGCAAACGTAAATAAGCTTAGAATATATAATATAATATATAATATATACTTACTACGATCCCTTTCTAAATTTCTCTACAATTTATCATAATTTTAAGAAATAATTTTACATAAATCCATGAGTGTCCGATCAATGTGTATTTTATTTATAGTATCATTGGAATTCATTCATTTTAATTCTGCAGAATAATTTTTTGTAAGTAAACAATTTTTTTCTTTAATTATAGGTTAAAAGAATGGCCCGCGTTTTATGCTTTAAAGAAAACAATTGACGATTTCAACGACATGTGCCCACTTCTCGAGTTAATGGCAAATAAAGCTATGAAGCCTCGTCACTGGCAGCGTATAATGGAGGTCACCAAATATAACTTCGAACTTGATAAGGAAGACTTCTGTCTAAAGAACATTTTAGAAGCACCATTGTTGCAGAACAAAGAGGATATTGAAGTAATTTTTTTATACATCACAATTATTTTCAGAAGAAATATTTCTCGCATTATTTAATACATTTTTGTTAATAAAACCTTGCAAATAAAATGTACTGTAACAAGTACGTTGTACTTCAATGATTGAAACTGAATTTACTATACCGGTGATATATTTTACCTTACTACATGTTTTTATATTCTCGTAAGCTAGCGCTTGTCTATGATCCCACCTGATGGTAAGTGGTGATGTAGCCTAAGATGGTGAAGCGCACTGACTTAACAAAAGCCTATTCACTCTTGCCTTGAAGACCCACACTGTAATCAGATGGAAAAACAGATGCTGGCAACTTATTCCACACCTTTGCTGTACGCGTGATGAACGACGTAGCAAACCGTTTGGTTCGAATGCGTGGTAAGTCAACAAGGAAAGGGTTACATCTAGAATTTTAGAAACCTAAATGCTTGATGTTTAGGGATGAGATTTTTAAGTACATCGTTACTATAATATATGTAAATATATCCTATATATTAAGCTTTAAGTAAGTAATTCTTCTATGTATGAAATTATATAAATATTTAATTGGTTTTTCAGAAACGGTATTGAAAAATTTGATGAAATTTTGTAGTAAGATAATGTTTTACTTTTCAAGTTTACTAGATAGGTGTCATCTCTGGTACGACAATATAATACAAAACCGGGTAGTAAGGTTCTTGATTTTTTGTTCCTTAGTTCCGTAGTGTATGATATCCATTCTTTTACTCGTTCATTCAATAACTACGTCTATCGACACTGCGCATGTGTCATAAATATCGAAGGCGTATACTTCGACCTAAAGTACTAGGAAGACATAACAAATAGGTAGTCTTAGCAAAAACTAACGAATCTTAACTTGTATGAAAACAATAGAATCGCTCCTCGCATTCGTAAAACGTGGCCATTATAACATAAAGTTACAATGGGTATAAACTCTCAACAGGATATTTGCATCTCAGCAATGAAGGAAAAGGACATAGAAGCTAAGTTGCGTCAAGTCACAAACGAGTGGTCAGTACACGAATTAACCTTTCAAACTTTCAATAACCGTGGCGAACTGTTGCTCAGAGGCGATACGACCGCAGAGACCATCGGCCAACTCGAAGATAGCCTTATGATTTTAGGTTCCTTGTTATCTAACAGGTAATATTAAAACATAAATTATTATATTTTCTGATATTATTACGTACAATATAATATACAATACAATGTGCTTATATTTGAATATAAGAATAATCATATTGTAAATATGTATGTTACATATAGAACAAATTTAATTTGGTAGTATCCTGCGACAAGAGAAGTTAGGGGAGGGAGAGGGGGTGACACTCCCTTTGAACTTTCCCTCTCGCGGAATCTTAAGTTTTTATAAGTACGTAGATATTATAGAAGCCCCCTAGCTTTTACGAAAAAGAAGTCATTTTTTTAATTACACACTGGTAAGCATTTCTTAGTATCCCGCTGTATGAAAGGCGGGGAAGAAAACCCCCTGTAGTGGGATTAAATGGTTAATGGTCAGATACTAAAGTCAACTTTTAATATTTACAGTGATTGCAAAACTATAGATATAAAAAAAATCTAAATAATTAAATCCTCTTTTGTCGTGGGTTAATCAGTGAAATGAGTTTTAAGCAAAGCCTTTATAAGCAATTAGATATAATTGCTTATAATTTTTAATCCCTTGCAGATACAACGCACCATTTAGAAAGCAAATCCAACAATGGTTGTATGATTTGCAAAGTGCTAATGAGATCCTGGAACGCTGGTTGCTAGTACAAAATATGTGGGTTTATTTGGAAGCGGTATTCGTTGGAGGTGATATTGCGAAACAATTGCCAAAAGAAGCAAAACGCTTCTCAAAAATTGATAAATCTTGGCAAAAGATCATGCAAAGAGCCCATGAAACGCCCGGGGTCGTCTCTTGTTGCGTTGGTGATGATCTTCTTAAGCAACTTCTACCTCATCTACAAGAGCAATTGGAACTCTGCCAGAAGAGTTTAAGTGGGTATTTGGAAAAAAAGAGAACTATGTTTCCACGGTTTTTCTTTGTGTCGGATCCAGCCTTGCTTGAGATTCTTGGCCAGGCATCTGATTCGCATACGATACAAAACCATTTGCTGTCAATTTTTGACAATATTAGATATGTGAAGTTTCATGATATTGGTAAGTGTTTACAATTTTTTTTAAATATATGTATATGATGATATATGTTATCAACATTTCTTTCATGTAGTTTTTCAAACAAGACTAACATAAAAAAATAATTAGCGAAACAAATATTAAAATATTTACAGAATACAACAAAATGATTGCCATTATATCATCCGAAGGAGAAGAAATCAAGCTTGAAAGACCAGTACGAGCGGAGGGTTCAGTCGAGACATGGCTGACTTCCCTTTTACAATCCGCTCAAAGTAGTTTGCATTCCATTATACGCAACGCGGTATCTCTGCTCAACGACCCTTCTTTTAATTTGCTGCTGTTTCTTGACAAAATGCCCGCTCAGGTAGTATTATAGTAAATGAAACTAGATTTTTAGGGGTTTAGGCTTATTTTTATATATTTACGACGTTTCGAATACTTTGTAGCACCCACATAATGGTATGCTTGGTTTGCAACACTTTAAGATACTATAAGTTCCTTTCTATTATTTCTCCGTGTTTTCCCGTGAATATAAGCATACCATTTATAAATCTTATATCCGTTATTTGTCCAACTTTGAGAGAAACGTGTCGAACAGCCTCTGCATTCTCTTAGCTGCAACCACTACTTTCTTGGACGACGTGAGGTATGCGCCGTCGCTAACCGTGTAGTGGCAGTGCAAATACGTGGTAATAACAAATATATACATGGTACAGCCATGCTACAGTTTTATTAATAGTACAGTGGTAGCACGAATAGGTCGGCTCGACCGGGGAAGGACCACGCACTCACAGAATACCAGCGTAAAATAGCAGCTCAATGCTACTGTGTTTCGTTTGGTGAGAAGAAAACCGGAGCCCTTTTTACTGGAAAAAAGGCATTCCATTTTAGTCCTCACGGTTGACATCGCATCTGCTTGTTATTCGCAAACGAGTATATATGTAGATGTCTATAGGCCACAGTAACCACTAACCATTAGGTAGACTGTGCTCGCTTGTCACCTATATTCTATAAAAAACACAAAATTTAAAAAAAACTGCGATTGCTACTATGCCAAAATATGACCTCATATCGCACCTCCAAAATAGTGTTCACAAAATAGTTTGACTGGTAAAGAACGCCTTAAGGTGTTAAGTCCGCCTTTGTACTTTTTAGAATAGTCTAAATAAAAAATTAAAAAACAAACATTGAACAATACCACACTTTGTAATGTTATAAATATAAATAATAAATTCAACCTCATTTGTTTAAAGTTCTGTGCCTCTACTGAATAATAATTATAAGGTACTGTATGAATGTATGTAATTACTCTGAGCTTTTTCAACATTGAACGATCATTGGGCAGTCCGATGTGTACATGCGCGATACGCGGCACAGGTCGTGAACTCATGAAAAGTCCTATGTGATATCTTCTATCTCTTCTGTCAGCCTAGTATCGAATGAAGTTAAGTTTTACTTTCAAACTTTCAGCTTTCATTCACATTTATCGTTCTCTCAGTTTGTTGACAGTTGGAAACTTTATATTTATAGCATTTTTTTTACTTTTTCATTATTTAATAGTAGATTTTGGATTAAAATTGCATTTAAGTGACTTTCCTTTTATTTCTTACACATTATTCTTTCGGTTTAAATGCCACGCCTCGATCATGTTGGTGTTTCAATGACGTACGCCACGAACAAACTAAACTATTTTTCTTTAATAATTTGTTGAAGTGTCTAAGTCGGTATGGTTTTCCAAGAATGAAATGAAATACATTTATTTATTTCTGTGACAGTCTGTTGATAGTCAATAGCGAAGCCAAGCATACCAGCCCTCACAAGGAGCACCTGTTCACATGTATGACACACATTTGACCGCCATCACCTTCCTCGATCCGCTATATGACGCTACTGTTAACAGAGACCTGTAAGCGAGCGTGACATACGTCACTCATTGAAATATATGTCCTAGAATATAAAAAATTAAAAACTGTTTAGGTACTTACTGAACACGCGCACGATTTACCCAATTTTGGCGAAACATCCTTGAACTTAATTTGAACCATATTTCATCCACATATTTGCGTAGCTAGTTCGTTATTCTCTTACGACAGCGGCTCCTCTCGACCAGCGCAGCGGTCAGCTCGACTAAGATAATAAAACAAATTCAAGACTATACCAGCTGGCGTGCATTTGTCCATACACGCCACGGTAGTGACCAGACGAGTCAAAGAGCAGATAATAAATACCTCGTATTTGTGACGGCGCTACCCACCAGAAGTCCGAAAATTTTGAGATTTATTTTTGAGATTTTTAAACTTAAACCTTGCGTGTAATCTCTCATGCTATATTGGGGTGAATTGTTTATATTTCATACATCGGTATAGCCATTTATGTTTACAAATTTTAGCACATACATAAAAAATAAACTTATTACGTTTCTCAATAGGTTGGACTCCTGGGTATTCAGATAATTTGGACAAGGGACGCTGAACTCGCGTTAATGCAAGCAAGACAAGACAAGAAGATCATGATGGAAACCAATAACAAGTTCTTGGAACTTCTTAATACACTTATAGATCAGACAACGCGAGATCTACTAAAGATAGAACGAATCAAATTTGAAACGCTAATTACAATACACGTTCATCAAAGAGATATTTTCGACATGTTGGTAAGAAAACAATTAGTTGAGGCTTTCATCCTCATTTCATTTCAGTCTAAGTTGCTAGGTGTCTTTCTATCATTTTTGGAAAGATTTTTTCATAATAGCCACACTTGGCAGGCAAATCGACGATCGCAGTACCAAAGGTACGCTCGCACTTTTGTAGATCCTGCCCGTCGCTGATCTAGGTATTTTAAACCTTGTCAAACTTTGTTCAAAGAATTTTCAGTTTTCCGTGACGCTTGCAGTTTGCATTTTAATTATAAAATAAACCGTTGAAACGCATTTTTTTTTTGTAATGATTACTTTATATTATTATAGTATATATAATATATATTTATGCGAAACTTGTTATTTCGAATGCACGGAATAACGACAACAAAGACGGAGGAAAAACGGGGACGCGCTGAGCGTCTGATTATCCGACGTCGGAAAGGGGAAGAAGGAATTAAGTTATGTAATTACTGCTGCGCACACTCTCCGGTAAATACTCTATGGAACACCGAGATTTTGTGCTGAAATTCCAGCTAGTTAAATAAATATAATGTACAGTTTTTGCGTAAATAAAGGATAGATAGTATAAAGTAATTAGGGAAAAAACTGGGCGGCTGGCAGCATTGACAACTGGATGCGTGGAACGTCTAAAAAGCTGGAATGGTCATTTGGGAAAAATCACTAAAATATTTGCGTAATATTTAGTGCTAAAAAATTAAATTTCACGCCGAAATAGCTACATCAAAAATTACAAAACTGCTAGCTTTTAATTAAGCTAGCAGTGTTCTAATGAAGCACCAAATAGAAGCATGAATAATTTAGTGCTCGTTTAGTGCTGTCGATATACGCAAAAAAAGTTGGGAAACTATTTTTTTAGCGGAGTATGTAAAAAAAATTTGACATCAGGGTGGGTTATCACCTATACTCGCGACAATCTAAAAGGCCCGATTTGACGTTTCTCATTATACATGCCGTTGTATGAACGTTGACGTAAGAAATCGAAAAAACAAATCAAAAAATAAAAAAAAATCTTGTGACAGGTATTGATAATTTTGATGCTGATGCTATTAGATCCCATGTTTACGACTACTACACAAGACAAGAATACCCCACCATAAGTAAATTACTTGTGTCCCTTAAATCTGCAAACTTATATAATGGCAGTGCAACATCTATAAAAACAATTCTAAAAAATAGTGGGTTTTCATACAAAAAAAAACCGACAAACGGAAACTATCGATGAAAAGGTATAACATAATACTACAAAGAGTATCCTTCTTAAGAGAAGTTAATAAAATAACCAACTGGGACAAGGTAATATTTATTGACGAGCCATGGTTAAATGCCTGTGCCACAATCTTGGACGTATGATACGCAAGCATCCAGCTCAAAAGTTCCAATGGGAAAGGGTCGACGCCTCATTATTTTTCACGCTGGATCTGCCGGGGAAGGTTTTATTCTTGACTAGCGACCCCCCTCGGCTTCGTACGGGTGGCGTACGAAGTACGCCATATCAGTGGCGTGCCTACATAATATACAATGTATGTCGGGTTTTAGTTTGCATCTTGGCTTTGAAACTGGCCCAAATTTGAACTTAGTTTGGATTTATGTAATAACTGTTAAATATTACAAACTCGTACATTTATTAAAACGATATGTCTTGAGAATCAATTTTAAACGATGTAGATACATTGTCCATTACAAACTCTATAATATATAAACTAATAATCGATATGTCTCGAGAATCAGTTTTTAAAGCAACCAATTTTTATTTCCCATCATTACGCAAAGTATTTTTTAGCTGTCAAATCGGGCTTCTTAGATTGTCACGAGTATAATGATATAAGATAATAAAAAGTTAGTTACAGCCTATATACGTTTCACTGCTGGTAAGCCACTTCGATGTCAATTTTTTCAGTACATACTGTGCTAAAGATATCAAAGTAACGGTTTACGGTATTTAAAAAAAATCGCAAATCGTTTTTCAGCACTAAATTATGATCCTATATCACTAGTTGATAACCCACCTGGATGTCAGTTTTGGATCACGTACTTTGCTGAACCTGTCACAGTAGCAGATTTCAGCATATGGACTACTAATTGATCACTAATTTATATTCTTGTATCCTTAGGTGATAACCCACTCTGATGTCAATTTATCATTACATACTCTGCTAAAGATGTCGAAGTAGCAGTTAATGATATTAAAAAAATAAAAATTAAACATTTTGTACAACCGACCACATGAAAAGCACCAGCTTTCAAATAAAAAAGGAATCATCGAAATCGGTTCACGTAGAACAAAGTTATGAGGTAACACAAATAAAAAAAATATACAATCGAATTGAGTACCTCCTCCTTTTTGAAGTCAGCAGAAAAATATATGTCTTTCCCAACTTTTTTGCGTATAAAATGAGCACTAAATTATTGATGCTTCTATTTAGTGCTTTATTAGAACACTGCTAGCTTAATTAAAGGCTAGCAGTTTTGTAATTTTTGATCAAGCTATTTTGGCGTGAAATTTAATTTTGCAGCACTAAATGAGCACTAAATTTTCTGCAAAAATTTTAGTGATTTTTCGAAAATGACCATAATATATTTATAGACGTATCCATGGACTTATTCTGTGGCGGAGATCGGGCTAAGTGGTGTGCTTTAAAAGAGGCCTATGTTGAACAGTGGACTGCCGCAGGCTGAAAAGGATGATGATGATGATGATAATCTGGGTGCCATCAAATCAAGGCAGGTGTGAATAGTGTGCTTGACAGTGCGATTCGCCATCTAATGTTGCACCGCCACTTACCACCAGGTGGGATTGTAGCCAAACACGCGAATTTGTGAATGTATTTGGAGTGGTAATCCAAGATTATACTAAAATAAAATCGGAGTTGGTTTTTAAGTTATCTTTATTTCATTAGGATTATTCAATAATTTCCATTAAATCAGTTTAATAATTAGATTTTCTTAGGCTAATGTAAAAAATCGAATGTGTATACTAATACCATAAAACGATATATTTCTGTGATATTTAGTACTGATACGTAAAATGAACATCATAATAAATCTCTTTATAATTTTAGTGTCGTTTGAACGTGCGGTCCGCGAACGACTTCGAATGGCTGAAACAGTGCCGCTTTTACTTCAAGGAGGACGCTGACAAAACTTGGATATCGGTAACGGATGTAACCTTCACTTATCAGAATGAGTATTTAGGATGTACCGAAAGACTGGTCATTACACCATTGACGGACAGGTAAAATATATTTTTTTTTAGATTTGCACATGCAACATGCTAGTTTTTTAGTATGAAGAAGCTTAAAGTCGGAGTTTCTTCGCGCGATAGGATCACTTATAAAGACATCCGTAGTAGACCACGGGTAATTGGCATAGCTCAAAGAAGCTCAAAGACTGAAAAGACTGAAAAAAAGTTGCTAATAGTCGGCCTAAAAGCGCAAAATTCGACAAATTATGTATAAAAAAGATGCTAGTGTGGCAGGGAAGCCTTGTGATAGGATGGTCCACTTAACACTTTTACTGGCCGAGTTTCAGACACAATTGTATAAAAAAGATTCTAGTGTGGCGGGGAAGCCTTGTGATAGCATGGTCCACTTAACACTTTTACTGGCCGAGTTTCAGACACAATTGTATAAAAAAGATTCTAGTGTGGCGGGGAAGCCTTGTGATAGCATGGTCCACTTAACACTTTTCCTGGCCGAGTTTCAGACACAATTGTATAAAAAAGATTCTAGTGTGGCGGGGAAGCCTTGTGATAGCATGGTCCACTTAACACTTTTACTGGCCGAGTTTCAGACACAATTGTATAAAAAAGATGCTAGTTTGGCGGGGAAGCCTTGTGATAGGATAGTCCACTTAACACTTTCACTGGCCGAGTTTCAGACACAATAGTAAGACAATAGCAATGACCTATATGTAGTACACTGGACAGCGAAAGGGATAAATACTCTAAAGTTAATAATGATTACATTATCAATAAAAATTCAGTCGAGTAGTCAAGGTCGTCAAAGTAACTGTAACTTAATTAACGGTTTATTTTCAGAGAATGGCGGTAACAAACGAGCAGACAGCCCACCAGATAGTGGAAGTGGTTGCTGTGGCCCATAGACATCTACACCTATCCTCGATTAAGAAATAAAATGCAGATGCATTGTCACCCCTGAGGATTAGGTAAGATGGAATGCCTCGTTTCCAGTAAAAAGTGTCTCCGATTCTCTACACTCACCATACGAAACACAGCAGTATCAAGCTGCTATTTTACACTGGTATTCTGTGAGCGCGTGGTCTCACTCCGTTTGAGCGGACCCATTCGTGCTATAACCATAATAATACAGCTGAAGCATGGCTCTACCACGTAAAAAAATCCGCTAAAATGCATTGCAATGCATGTTATTGTATTAGCTTTATATCGAATACAGGTAGAATAGGTAGCAAAAGGACCGAATATGGAATACTTAAACAAATTAAAAAAAAATCAGTACAAAAGTTTTATTTTAATCAGTCTTATTGATTACAATTAAATATAGTCATTATCACTCTCTTAAAATAATATTTAAATCAGTAAATCATAAACACATTCCGTAATATTATTAACTAAAATAAATCAACAAAAAATATGCTTCTCAAAAATGTGACCCTATTATGGAATAGGGTATTCCATAATAGGGTCAAGTCTCGTTAATCAAAAGAAATTATTTTTTACCGTCAACTGATATGCCATTCTCTTCACATCATTTCGTGTAAGCCCAAAATACCGTTTTATTTTTCATTTGCTTGACATACTGTACTCGTACTAACATAATATGTTCAATGTCAGGTCCCAAAACTGTTTTACGACCAAGGCGGTAGTCTATATTTGGTTCATATCATGACAGAACCGAAAGAGGGTAGTCCGAAGTACATTAAAAACCTGTGCAGCTTTCTTATAACTCATTTTTTTGGTTTTCACGGCTTTAATAGCATTTTTCATACTGGTGGGCTCAGTGTGATCACAATTATATCTGTAAAAGACAGAAATAGTAATCAGACACTATATTAAAAACTTACTTTCGTTGAGGTTCTAATATAGAATACTATTCCATATTAGGACCTCGTTATGATAATTACCTTATATATATATATATATATATATACATATATATATATATATATATATATATATATATATATACATATTAATATAATATTTATATACGTGAGTATAAATGTAACGATTTAATATGTATTATGTAAACGGTTTCAGATGCTACATAACGTTAGCGCAAGCGCTGGCGATGAGTATGGGGGGAGCACCGTGTGGTCCCGCGGGCACTGGCAAGACCGAGACCGTAAAGGATATGGGCAAAACATTAGCGAAATACGTTGTGGTCTTCAACTGTTCCGACCAAATGGATTACAGGTAATAATTATATTAAAAATAGACGCGTTTTATCTCAAAAGAGCAAACGTACAAGCATACCCTTATGTGTTCTTATAGATTTACAGATGCCAAAACAACTATATTTAGAAACCCTGCCTATCTTGTCTGGTCAGATTTGGATGGGACTTTCTCAATAGTTTTACGTAGAGGTCGATCTGTTAGAATATATTATCACGCTGTCTATTATAGGAACTGAACAGTAGACCTAATGGTCTGGATATATGTACCTATAATGCAAAAACTAGACAAATTAAGATGGAGCTGTCAACATTTTGTTACATTTACAATATTTTGTTTTTAATAGTTAAGCCAATACTTATAATAATTGTATCCTTGGCACGGCAGACTTGTGCAAATATATCTTGCAATTAACAGATTTTTTAAAGGCCTACTTACTATGTATGAACAAAATCAATTCCAGAATTGTTTCTACAAAACTTATTTCTTAAGTTGAAATATCGATTTTTTTAACTTTATGCCTGTATTTAAATAACTATATATTATGACTACCAATTTAAATCATGTACGTGGTATAATTTCTGAAAAGAATATGTGTGTATTGTTGAATGTTTTGCCGATTTTTAGGTTTTTATTATAATAGGATTTATAGTTTTAGTATTAAATAATACTGCATATTTTATATGTGTACACTTTAAACTAAAATATGCGTCTCCATCATTACATAAATTGCCTTTGTCATAATAATCTTCCATTTTATTAAATATTGATTTTCTCATAACTCATTCAATGAAAATAATGATCACTTCAATATATTTTACAAACGTGTAATTTAAAGGTGTATAATCCGAGAGGCTGGATCTGGTGAGCTATAGAACAGGTATTGTTAAATAGGTACCACTCTAACGCAAACTAGGGTTCATTACGTTTATAGATTAATTAATATGCTTGTCAAAAATAAATACTTATAATATTCTATTCTATTCTTTATTTCTTAGACCACTTAAAAGGGTATTTAAACATTAATTAAAAAAAACTGCCAAGTGCGAGTCGAACTCGCGTATGAAGGGTTCCGTACCATCACAACACACGTTTCTAGTAGGGGTCTTTTAATTTTTAATTCATTTTTATTTTTATTATATTTTTATTATAGCGGCAACAGAAATACACATTCTGTGAAAATTTCAATTGTCTACCTATTACGGATCATGGTTCGGGAAATTACGGCACATCTTCTCGTCAGGTATATCTCAAAACTTGAAAACGAGACTGTACAACCAGTGCGTGTTGCCAGTGATGACCTATGGAACTGAGGCGTGGTCCTACACTGCTGGCCGCATGAGGAAGCTCAAGGTCGCTCAGCGAGCTATGAAGAGGGCTATGCTCGGAGTTTCTCTGCGTGATAAACTTAGAAATAAGGATATCCGCAGTAGAACCAGAGTGACCGACATAGCCCAACGGATTAGTAAGCTGAAGTGGCAATGGGTCGGCCATATAGCTCGAAGAACCAACAACCGATGGGAAAAAAAGGTTCTCGAGTGGCGGCCTCATACCAGCGTACGAAGTGTAGGGCGTCGCCCCAATAGATGGAGTGACGACCTGGTAAGATATGCAGGAAGTCGATGGATGCAGGTGGCTCAGGACTGTGCTTTATGGCATTCCTTGGGGGAGGCCTATGTTCAGCAGTGGACTTGTGAAGGGCTGTAATGATGATGATAATGATACAGATCATGAGATACAGCCCGCTGACAGACAGATGGACGGACGGACGGACGGACGGATGGACAGCGGAGGCTTAGCAATAGGGTCCCGTTGGTTATTACCCTTTGGGTACGGAACCATAAAAAGTCAAAACTGAGAACAAAAACTAAAAAAACTCCTTGTAACAGCTTCTGAAATGGAGATTTCACATGTAATAATTCCTCGATACACTATCTCTATGTCTACGACTTCTCTATGATAAAGACAGACAGACACGACAGATATGATGTGATAATTATTTAATTTTATATATATCCATCCATCTTTAACTCTCTTATTGAGATAGTCTAGTTTGTAATATCAGCATGTATATCACTTTTAGAGGTCTTGGCCGTATATACAAAGGTCTCGCCCAATCGGGCTCTTGGGGCTGCTTCGACGAGTTCAATCGCATTGAACTGCCTGTTCTGTCGGTGGCGGCACAGCAAGTTGCCGTCGTTCTTGCTGCCAAAAAGGAGAAGAAGAAGACATTCCTCTTTACTGATGGCGAAATGTCCGACATGTGTCCCGAGTTCGGTATATTTATAACTATGGTAGGTAAAACATATTTTAACGAAGACACAATTGTTAGACTTGTGAATTTTTAGTAGTATTAAAACTCTAGATGTTTTGACACCCGATCATGCTGACACCGCATTACATAAGAGACAGAGATCGAAGGATTATGTTTTTGTTATGGTAATCTCCCGTGTTTCTGAAACTGCAGCCTACCTCCGATCTCATCACATAAAAAATACTTTAACAAGAGTAGGTAAGTTAGAAAGACTAGATGTGTTTGAGCTCACCTCTTCCTATTATTTGAAGTTGTTGCCGTGGTTAAAAATTGACCAGCAGATCAGCGTAAATGTTTCCGACACCTAAATAACACCTAAAGATGAGCTAATGAATTGTCTAGCAACACTTAAAGACGCCAGTGTAATTATTTTGTAAAAGCTTAAAGAGGATATCTCGACTGCAAGAAATATATAGAATAGGTATCTCACGATTTGTTACTGTCGAGCTGTTCCCGAAAGAAGGAGATAACAACCGAGAGATACCACTGCACTTAGGACTGATTATACCTACTTTATAATAAGCTTGCATAGTCCTACCTTAGATAATTCTTTCTACCTTCAGAACCCGGGCTACGCTGGTCGTAAGGAGCTACCGGAAAATTTAAAAATTCAGTTCCGAACTGTAGCGATGATGGTGCCTGACAGACAGATCATCATCAGAGTAAAGTTGGCTTCCTGTGGCTTTCTTGAGAATATCACACTTGCCAGGAAATTTTACACTCTCTACAAGCTATGTGAAGAACAGTTGACTAAACAGGTACGTTTTGTTTATAACACTTCGTAAAAGTTGTTTTTCTTTTTATAGAAGAGGGGGCAAACGAGCATGCGGCTCACCTGATGGTAAGTAACTACCGCCGCCCATAAACAACCGCAACACCAGGGGAATTGCAGATGCGTTGCCGGCCTTTTAGAAAGGTGTAAGCTCTTTCCTTGAAGGTCCCTAAGTCGTATCGGAAAAATCGCCGGGTTTTTTTTTTTATAGGAGAGGGGGCAAACGAGCATGCGGCTCACCTGATGGTAAGTGACTACCGCCGCCCATGAACAACCGCAACACCAGGGGAATTGCAGATGCGTTGCCGGCCTTTTAAAAAGGAGTAGGCTCTTTTCTTGAAGGTCCCTAAGTCGTATCGGTCCGGAAAAATCGCTGGTGGTAAACTGTTCCACAAGGAAGTTTTGCGAGGAAGAAAACATCTTCTAAATCGCACAATGGTGGACCGCCAATCATCCAGATGGTGTGGATGGTATCGGGAGTTCTGCCGCGATGTGCGTTCGTGAAATTTGGCGGCTGGGATTAATCCGAACAATTCCTCAGAGCACTCCCCATGGTAAATGCGAAAGAAAATGCTAAGAGATGCAACATCTCTTCGCAGTGCCAATGAGTCGAGCCGATCGGAAAGGACTCGGTCGTCGACGATTCGAGCCGCTCTGCGCTGGATGCGGTCAAGTGGAAGGAGCTGGCACTGGGGAGCCCCAGCCCAGAGATGGGAACAGTATTCCATGTGAGGCCGAACCTGCGCCTTGTAAAGTTGCAGGCGTTGAGCCGAAAAAACAATTTCACAGAGAAGTTGTACGAGGAAGAAAACTCCTAGTAAAACACACAGTCGTGGACCGCCAAGCATCCAGATGGTGTGGATTGTATCGTGAATTTTGACGCGATGTGCGTTCATGAAATTTGACGGCTGGAATTAATCCGAACAATTCCTCAAAACACTCCCCGTGGTAAATTTGATAGAAAATGCAAAGGGATGCAACATCCCTACGCAGTGCCAGTGTATCCAGCCGATCAGAAAGAACTCGGTCGTCGTATAAACAAATTATTAATAAACAGGCGATAATAATTTGCGTAAATACCGGAGCGGTACGGCTGATATTGTGCCTAATATTTGTCCTAAAATAAAAATCGCTCCTCTTTTCTAACAGATAACCAATCCCGGCAGCTAATTACTAACATTCATTATCACTCCACTGCTAAATATAGGCCTCCCCCATAGGTTGCCTTATTGGGGGGATATTTCCCCCAATAAGGGATCTATAGTGGCCAAGCTTGGCAGGCGAGTTGGCAACTATAGAAAAAAAAAACAGTGGTAGAGCCACGCGACAGCTTTTGCTGTCGCACGGATAGGCCGGCTCGAACTGGGGTGGTACCACGACCTCACAGAATACCAGCGTGAAGTAGAGGTTTACCTCTGCGTTTCGCTTGGTGAGTGCAGGTGGCCGGAGGCCCTTTTTACTGGAAATGAGGCATTTCATCTTAGTCCTCACGGGTGGCAACACATCTGCATTTTGATTCGCAAGCGAGGATAGATGTAGATGTCTATGGGCCGCAGCAGCCACTTACCATCAGGTGGACTGTGTGCTCGTTTGTCACCCTTATCCTATAAAAAAAGCCGCAGTTTTTCATATGAGTCGTTATCAGAAAATTGCTGCTGCACACGTCCTATTTCAGTTTCCCTCGGTCGCTTCTTACAACACCCACGGGATGTCATGGGATAGGGAATTTTCTAACGCCACGACTACACAGCAATTAACATTATCATAGTTTAATTAACGTTTACATATTCAAAATAATACCTGAGACGCTAAAAAAAAATATCTTTTTAGTGTCTCAGGTATTAATAAAAACTGCTAATTCTGTTTAAAACTGCGCTGTAACTTGTAATGCTCAGCTCTACAGAGCTTCGAAGAATCATTTACATGCGACGTACGAGAGCGCATGGAGGAGCAAATTAGCAGTTCTGTATTAAATGACTTCTTTACTGACTTTCTATCTGTAAATACATAGATTTATTTCTCTTTGTCAGTTTTGGATTGGTTCTCACCTTATCTTCGTAGTCACCAGCAAAAAGTCAATCAACAGTCCTTCACCAATTGGTCTAATCTGACTACTGGCGTTCCAAAAGACAAAACTATGGCTCTTTTATTATTTTCTTATTTCATTAATCTCATAACTAAAAATTTCAAATGCTCCTACCATCTGTATGCTGATAATTTACAGTTGTATACTCAAATCGATTCAGCAGAGGTTAACTATGCGATCGACGTTTTAAATTTAGACCTTCAGTGCATTATGACTGGTGAAATAGTTATAACGTTGCTGTCAATCCTGCAAAATGTCAAGCTATAATTTTCGGTAGCCCTCGTAGTCTAGCTAAACTAGATTTTAATTCACTTGAGCCTATTGTTTACAACAGTACAATTATTCCTCTTAGTCATATAATTAAAGATCTTGGGCTACTGATCGATGCCAGATTAAGTTGGCAATCTCAGGTGGCTGAAATAAGCCTGAGTGTAATAATCACCCAGCGAGTCCTTTATTGTTTTAGGAATTTCCTTCCAACCGAGATTAAGACTATGTTGGTGCGATCACTTTTTTCACCGGTCATTGATTATGCTGATGTATCCTTATATCGTCATTATCTTTCTTCTTCCAGTGCCTCTTTAAATAGATAAATTTGCTTTATTATTGGTCACTCGTCTGGCAGATTGATGATCTAGTGTCTTTGACGCTGTTGCCCGTCGCCTGTCTCAATTTCACATTGGCGTAAACAAGATGATTAAACCGAAATAAATATAAGAATTTTCTGGCAATTTCCATAGATGCCTCTTACGACACCTATGCAAAGAAATAGGTTGATGCGTACGTACAGCATGCATCACACAGCATCGGATTTAGCGCGAAAACAGACTTACTTTCACTAAATAGCAATTATGACGTCACAGTATATATACAATTTAGCACGCTAGATTTTCATCGCTTGTTCGTAATACCAGACGTCTCGCACTTTGAGGGTGCCCTCGGTTTGGGTATTATCCATTTGGTATAGAAAAGATGATTATACTATCATCTTTTTTCCAAAGTCGCTTCTCACGATACGCGGGACAATATGCGGTGAATGGTTTTCTTTCGCCACCGCCACACGGTCGTGTATTATATGATTAATATATTTTTGTTCAGGTACATTATGACTTCGGACTTCGAAACATCCTCTCTGTATTAAGAACTCTAGGTGCAGTCAAGCGAGTAAATGCGAAAGACAACGAAAGCACGATCGTGATGCGCGTCCTACGCGACATGAATTTATCGAAGCTGATCGACGAGGATGAGCCTCTCTTTATTTCTTTGGTTGCTGACCTATTTCCTAACCAACTGCTGGAAAAGACTACATATCCCGAGCTCGAAGACGCTATTCGAAAGCAAGTCGACCAAGTAGGATTGATCTATCATCCACCATGGGTGTTGAAAATTATTCAGGTAAAGGCACTCATGTTAATTGCAATTCTTTTTATGAGCTGTAAACCAAATTTTTTACAAATACTGTATGCAAAAAGAAATAAATAACGTCATATGTTTGTAGTCGAATAAACCATTCATATATATATATCTTAAAACAATAAAATTTAACGTAACTTAAAACAAAAAACCGACCAAGTATTCAATTACGCATATGACGTAGTTTAAGACTTATAATGTATCGATTACACTTGATATTATATAGATATTATAAAAAGTTTGTCGAAAAGTGAACAGTTATATTAATCTAGTACTCATAATCTCTTAGCTTTACGAGACTCAAAGAGTGCGGCATGGTATAATGATACTGGGCCCACCAGGTGCTGGCAAAACTACATGCATTCACACTTTGATGACAGCTTTATCTGATATAGAAAATCCTCACAGGTAATACGGATTTCAAACTTAATAAAATACATTCCTGATTTTATATGCGAATAACATATTATTAATAATAATATTTACTTTTTCTTTTGTCAATGTTTATAACATCATACATAAGATAATTTACGTTATTAACGCAAAATATTATGTTTTTTTAAGGGAAATGCGAATGAATCCAAAAGCAATAACAGCGGCGCAAATGTTTGGACGCCTAGATGTTGCTACGAATGATTGGACCGATGGAATATTTTCAGCCTTGTGGAGGAAAACTCTTAAAATAAAAACAGGCGAATATATTTGGTTAGTCCTAGATGGACCTGTTGATAGCATATGGATTGAAAATTTGAATTCGGTACTTGATGACAATAAGACACTAACTTTAGCCAACGGTGATCGTTTAACTATGTCCCCAACCTCAAAAATTATATTTGAACCAGAGAACATAGACAACGCTTCACCAGCGACAGTATCTCGTAATGGGATGGTATATATGAGTTCTTCAGGATTAGATTGGCAGCCAGGTAAAAAGTACTATAATATATAGCAATATTATTATTGACTTGAATAGAGTTCATACTGCAAGATATAAGCTTTTCCCAAGTTGTCGAAAATTAGTAATAATTTCCCCTGGTATTGCCATAAAATGTGAGTTTGAGCAATAAAAGAATAGCGAATTTGCCTTGACTGATAATCTACAACCGTTAACGCTAATAGAAAAGTATAAGAATTAATAAATCAACGATAATTCGTGACGTGAATGTGTTGACAATTATAGCAAGTCAACTTGAGTAGCAAGTCAAGTTTCTTGGCAATAAGTTATTTTTAATTATTAACTCCAAACACTATATCTCGTTATCGGCCTGACTATGTTATATCATAGAACAACACGGACCACCGCCGGACCAGAAGCGAGTGGCCATAGCGTTTTTTTCCCGATACAGAACTCTCTGTCATTTATAGCGGCAGGAAATCTGCGCACACAAAAAAATCGTCTATCACAACCTATTTCACACACACATAGAGTGCATTATAATACTATCACTGACGTGACAGCGCGAATTCGAATACAACTCGACCGATGCGCATCTTGTATGGGCGCGAGTGGCCTTTGTTAGTAAAGAAATCCGATTTTTTTGTACGCACTGGACCGCGTGGACTTCTTTGACAGAGAGGAACGCCCGCGTATATGCTGAGATAGTTTGGTTTTCTGCTTTCCATTGTGTGCACTGACCTTTTTATATACAAGTTAGCGGTACCTATAATAGAGGCCAGTGGTTGAATGTCGCAAATAATTGCCTGTGGTTTACTATTTTAATTGTAGAACAAATTCTATTACTACTTTGTATAATGACTTAAAAGCATTATTGTTGTACACCATTAATTAAATGTCTTCACATATCGACGCCGCTAAAAACTGAAATTTAAAGGATGGTTTTCTCACCACCACATTAAAGATGTGCGTACATTAATTTAAAATAACCTATTGTTGCTTTTGTTCTTACTTGAAAATCTTAACTCACATGAAAAACGTTTTAAATGAAGTCCTAAGTTTTAGTACTTTTGTTAAAATAATGTTATTATTTTAAAAGATGTTTATAGATAATAGCAGTTTCGTTAAGAATATAATATCTCCTATTTTATTACATATTAATTAATTATTACATTTATTCATTACACATTATCACAAGTCTACCGCTGAACATAAGCTTTCTCGATAGATTGCCTCATTGGGGGAATATGCCATTTGCCACGCTCCGCAGGCGTGCTGGCAACCTTAGTTTTTTTTATATACTGTGATACTGATACTATGAAGATGCTGCTGCCTATCTTCTATCTCTATCTCTATCTCTTTTCTACCGACACCCACAGGATGATATCGGGTAGTGGATTCTCTTACCACACTACTACACGCCTGATACAGCTATATATTAATAATTTGTATTGAGGATACCTTATACCTAATTAAATATATTTTATGACGTGAATTGGAATAAATTGTATGTAGATATATTATGTACAACATGTTGTTTTTAATTTTCTTTCAGTCCTCATCGCATGGCTAAAATCTAGATCACAAAGAGAAATCGAAGTTTTCAGTGTTCTATTTGAACAAACATTTTTTAATACATACACATGGTGTACTCAGAACCTCACATTCAGTATGCGCGTACTACAGAGCAATATTGTATTGCAAATGCTTAATCTCCTAGAAGGATTAGTGCCACCTCAGATTGTGGAAATCGAAGACCCATCAGCTAGTAAATCCGTTAATGGTGACATAGACGATGAAGAGGAAAAAGAAAATGGAGAAGAAATCGTTCTCTTCACTCATGAACATTTACATAAAATTTATATTTTTGCATTAGTATGGGGTTTTGGTTCACTCCTTGAAACTGAGGATAGATTTCGTTTTGACAAATACATAAAAACAACATTCACAGAGATCTTAGAAATACCTAAGCATCCAAATAATAAACCTAGTATTTTGTTTGATTTTTATGTCAAGCATCCCGGTAAGTGGGAATTATGGGATGATTTGATAACTAATTATCAATATCCCGATACAGCATCACCTGATTATTCTAGTATTTTAGTACCCATAGTCGATAATGTACGAATCAATTATCTGATTCATTGCATCGCTAAACAAGGGAAAGCAGTACTTCTCTTAGGGGAGCAAGGCTCAGCTAAAACCGTCATGATGAAAGCTTATATGAAAAATTCTAATCCGGAGCAATTCATGGGTCGCTCATTTAATTTTTCCTCTGCTACTAGTCCGTACCAGTTTCAGAAAACAATAGAAAGTTACGTTGAAAAACGTAGTGGAATGACATTTGGGCCTCCTGGGGGTAAGAAAATGTTAGTTTTTATAGATGACATCAACTTACCACAAATAAACGAATGGGGTGATCAAATAACAAATGAAATTGTTAGACAAACTATGAGTATGGGTGGATTTTATAGTTTGGAAAAGCCAGGAGATTTTACAACAATCGTTGATATACAATTTCTAGGTGCTATGGGCCAGCCAGGTATATTTCTTCTAGTCGTTATTTTTATGAAGGAACAGTAGACACTATTCATTAAATATTAAAATTTTTACTTGTAGGTGGAGGTCGAAACGATATACCATCTCGTTTAAAGCGACAATTTTCAATATTTAATTGCCCTTTGCCTAACAATGAATCTATAGATAAAATTTTTAAGGTTATTGGTGAAGGTCATTATAATGCAAAACGAGGATTTACTACCGAAGTTAGATCGCTTATAAAACGCGTTATACCCTTGACACGAGAGCTATGGGCACAAACGCGCCTGAAATTATTACCAACACCAGCAAAGTTTCACTACGTATTTTCTTTAAGAGATTTATCTAGAGTTTGGCAAGGTATGGTTGGAACACTACCAACTGTAATAGAATCAGAAAAATGTCTTATGCTTTTATGGAAACACGAGTGCTCCCGTGTGTTTTCTGATAGGTTTACGCATCAATCTGACAAAGATTGGTTTAACAAAGCTTTATACGACATTTCTGAGGAAGTATTAGGTGTAGAGTATAAAAAAATGATGGAAAAAGATCCTGTATTTGTGGATTTTATGAGGTAAGTAAGATACGTTAAAAGAAAAAGTTTATTTAATGAATATATGTCTAAAATTGTTATGTTTTTTTGTAACTAGGGATGCACCTGAACCAACAGGTGAAGAAGGTGAAGACGCAGATATGGAACTACCAAAAGTATATGAGCCGGTGTTTGATTTTAATGAACTACGCGATCGTCTTGATATGTTTCTCTCTCAATTCAATGAAATGGTCAGGGGATCTGGAATGGATTTAGTATTTTTCCCCGATGCGATGCTTCATTTAGTAAAAATATCCCGTGTTATACGACATCCTAGAGGAAACGTTATGCTTGTAGGCGTAGGAGGCTCGGGAAAGCAATCACTCACGAAACTGTCAACATTTATTGCTGGATATCGCTCTTTCCAAATAGCTTTAACAAGATCTTATAATGTCGGAAACTTTTTGGAAGATCTCAAATTACTTTACCGGTCATGTGGCGTACAAGGAAAAGGAACAACATTTATTTTCACCGATTTAGATATTAAGGAAGAAGGATTTTTAGAATACTTAAATAATATATTATCATCCGGTGTTATATCTAACTTATTTACTAAAGACGAGCAGCAAGAAATTATTTCGGAACTAACACCAATAATGAAGCGTGAAAATCAAAAACGAACATTAACGAATGAACTAGTTATGGAATATTTTCTGAATAGGACTTGTCAAAATCTTCATGTTGTTTTATGCTTTTCGCCTGTGAGTAAAATTTATAGAAAAATATATATATATATATTTAATGGTTATGAATAATGTATTATATTTTTATAAAAGTATACTTTTTATTGTAAATTAATCCAAATGCATTAATTTACTAAATTAATATACTGAATAACTTAATTCAGAAAGTTTTTAAAATTACATTTATCGTATTTTAGGTCAGTGAGGCATTTAGATATCGGGCACTAAGATTTCCAGCTCTTATATCAGGTTGCACTATCGACTGGTTTCAACCCTGGCCAAAAGATGCACTTGTATCTGTTGCTGACCATTTTCTAGCTGATTTTGAAATAGAATGCACAAAAGAAGTTAAAAAGGAACTCGTAACTGTTTTGGGTACAATTCAGGATGTAGTCTCAAAAGTATCTACAGAATATTTTCAAAGATTTAGAAGATCTTCGCATGTTACTCCGAAATCATATCTTAGTTTTATAGGAGGTTATAAAACGATATATCAGATGAAACAAAAAGAGCTAGGAGATGGTGCTTTAAGAATGGATACTGGATTGGAAAAGCTTCGTGAAGCGTCAATATCCGTTGAAGTTTTAAAGAAAGACTTAGCTGTAATGGAACAAGATTTAGCTTTAGCGTCTGAAAAGGCAGATCGAGTATTAACTGAAGTCACAGAAAGAGCTATGCAGGCAGAAATAGTCAAAAATCAAGTGCAAATAGTTAAAGAAAAGGCGGAAGCATTAGTAGCTTATATTGCTGAAGAAAAAGAGAAAGCTGAAATAAAGTTGGAAGCTGCCAAACCTGCGCTTGAAGAAGCTGAAGCAGCACTTAATACAATAAAACCAGCTCACATAGCCACTGTCAGAAAATTAGGCAGACCTCCACATCTCATTATGAGAATCATGGATTGTGTACTTATTTTATTTCAGAGAAGATTACACCCTCTGATACCCGACACAGCTGCGCCGTGTCCAAAACCGTCATGGGCTGAATCTTTAAAGGTTAATATCAAAAATTGTTTAATGAATATTAAATACAAATAATTTTTACAATTATTATTTACAGATGATGGCCAGTACCACATTTCTTCTGCAACTACAAAATTACCCAAAAGACATAATAAATAACGAAATGGTAGAACACTTAATCCCTTATTTTGAAATGGAAGATTACAATATGGATACAGCAAAGCGTGTTTGTGGCGACGTGGCTGGTTTGTTGTCCTGGACTAAAGCAATGGCATTCTTTCATAGTGTCAATAAAGAAGTTTTACCTTTAAAGGCAAATCTTTTGTTGCAAGAAGCAAGATTGAAGGTAATTAACTAATTAGGTGCAAAAGTTATATTAAATCTAATATAACTTTTTTTTATTAAATCTCACGCGTCATGACACTGGCAAGGGCAGACAGCTTATGCATGCCCGTCTGTCAGTCCAACCCGAATTAAATAACCAAATGGGCACACCATTTGGCTATTAAACAATCTAACTAAAATATGTTGTACAAAGATAAAACGCTGCTCTTTGAACGACATAGATTAAACATAAGGCCGTAATATAACGTTTTCAAACGTTTTCGAATTGAAGATGTTCGATTGTTTTAACCGATTTTTGTTTTGCCGCGTAAATGGAGGTAGATATTAACAAATTTGGTGAAAAAAAATGAATTGAAGGGATCTCTTTTGATATAATGTTGCAAATAAAAAAAACATAGCTGGCATACAAAATTAAAAAGGTATCATGTTTACACTAGTGCCTACCCGTATCGCGCGAATACCGAACGGCCCCTGAAACTTGACGAGTAAAAACATAAAATGGTCGGACACATGAGGAGTATAAAAATTAACTTTTGTTTGTTCGTATTTTATGCGCTGCCAAACCATTCGTCAGATTGCGGTCAGACTTTGTCAACTTATTGCTTACATTTGCGCTAAGGTCATAGACGTACTACAATTAACTTACATTAGGTGGCACGTGTATCGTACAGGCAAATTTATTTGAAAGTTATATCATTCATTAAATGTATTATCCTTCCTAATTAAACAATATAACTCTTCCAAATTAAAAACGATATCTATTACCACAACGATTTCTTCTGCGGCAACAATGCGCTTGATACCAGCTAGTGTAAAATAAAGAAGTAAAGTTAAGTTGCAAATAAAGTTGCAACCTAATGGTTATGTGGCAATTTAATGGGACATGTCCCACTAAATTGCCAATTTTAAGACCTCCTTCCCATTCTATGAGGGTTAGGGAGCAATTAATATGTATTAATATCACGTCACCACGCTGCTTCAATGTGTATTGACGGATATCCATATATCGTAGATATACTTTATTTCTTAAAGCCATGATGGTTCTGAGGTAAAGCGCTTGCCGTAAGTTTCAGTGTATGCAGGTAGGTAACCTTGGTTCGATCTCCACCGGAATTGTTAACTGCAATTTAAAGAGCTGATTTACCACTTGCTAGGCGGTAGGTACAGGAAAATATCGTAAAGAAACCTGCATCAATGCTTAATTTCCTTGCAATCATTAATTTTAATGCAACCTTGCGTTTAATAAATTTTTATAATTGTAGGTTGCAATGGACGACCTGGCATCAGCAGAAAGACAATTAGAAGAGAGGGAAATGTCCTTACGTAAAGTTAAAGAGCAGTACGAATCAGCAGTTTCTGAGAAACAACAACTTACAGATGCGGCAAATGTATGTTTGAGAAAAATGACAGCAGCTACAGCTTTAATCAATGGACTAGGAGGCGAAAAAATTAGGTGGACGCAACAAAGCAAAGATTTTAAGGAACAACTTGGTAGATTAGTTGGTGACGTCGTTTTAGCGACAGGTTTTTTATCATACTGTGGTCCTTATAATCAAGAGTTTAGAAATAATCTCTTTAATACTTGGATGGGAATACTCAAAAGCAAACATATACCCGTTACAGATAATTTAAATATTACTAATATGTTAGTTGAAAGTGCAACTATATCTGAATGGACACTTCAAGGTCTTCCTAATGACGAGCTATCTGTACAAAATGCTTTAATTGTTACAAAATCTAGTTCCTATCCGCTTCTAGTTGATCCACAAAGTCAGGGCAAAAATTGGATCAAGAATAAAGAAAGTACTAATGAGCTTCAGATTACTTCACTCAACCATAAATATTTTAGAACTCACCTTGAAGACAGTTTATCCCTTGGCAGGCCACTTTTAATCGAGGACGTTGGTGTTGAACTAGATCCAGTCATAGACAATGTTCTAGAAAAAAATTTCATTAAATCCGGTTCCATCGAAAAGGTTATTGTAGGTGACAAGGAATGTGATGTAATGCCTGGATTTATGCTTTACATTACAACTAAATTACCTAATCCTGCATATTCACCGGAAATAAGCGCCAAAACCTCAATTATTGACTTCACTGTTACAATGCAAGGTCTTGAAGATCAACTACTTGGTCGAGTAATTTTGATGGAAAAATCAGATTTAGAAGAAGAGCGAGTTGCTTTGTTTGAGTCAGTTATGAAAAATCAGAGAAGTATGAAAGAATTAGAAAGTAACCTTCTCTGTCGCTTAACATCCTCAAAGGGGTCGTTAGTTGATGACGAAGCTCTTATTCAAGTATTACAGATAACAAAAACAACAGCAGAGGAAGTAAATGAGAAGCTGAAAGTGGCTGAAGTAACTGAGAAAAAAATTATCAAAGCTAGAGAAGAATTTCGAGCAGTTGCTGCAAGGGGTTCCATTTTATACTTTTTGATTGTTGAAATGAGTAACGTTAATCTTATGTACCAAAACTCACTCAAGCAGTTTCTTAATATTTTTGACAACTCCATTACTAAATCTACTAAAAGCAGTATTACAGAAGAAAGAATAAATCTGATTTTGAAATACTTAACACATGAAGTATGGGCATTTACATTGCGCAGTTTATACGAAAGACATAAAGCATTGTTCACACTGATGTTAGCCATGAAGATAGATTGTCATCGAGGATTGATATCACACGACGAATTTATGGCATTCGTAAAAGGCGGGGCATCTCTTGATTTAAATGCAGTTACTCCAAAACCTTTTAAGTGGATCTTGGACATAACATGGCTCAATTTAGTGGAGATTAGTAAACTAAAAACTTTCTCCGACGTTCTTATCAAAGTAAGAACAAATAAATATATCAAATCTTAATTATGTTTTAATGATAAAATAATATAAATCTCTTACATTTACAGATATCTAGCAATGAAAAAGAGTGGCGTATTTGGTACGAAAAAGCCAAACCTGAAGAAGAAATGATTCCTAGTAGCTACAACGAAAGTCTTGATGTTTTTCGCAAACTCTTACTTATAAGATCATGGAGTCCTGACAGAACTCTTTCACAAGCCAGGAAATATATTGTTGGTAAGAGAAATTAAATCAATATGATCATCGACGATTCGATGAAGTGATGGGTGCTCAGCTCACACATCATCATCATCATCATCATCATCAGTATAGCCGTTCACAAGACCACTGCTGAACATAGGCCTCCCCAAGGAATGCCACAAAACATGGTCCTGAGTCGGGCCGGCCATATAGGTCACACATATTACACGTTAAATCGCGCGTATGATATATAAACAAGTAATATAAAATAAAATAATGGGAATCACACAACAAATTATTTAAAACGAAATCTGAATGGCTTGAGGTTTTCGACTTTCTGCAGATATGTGCTCACTAATCCACACTAGTTGCCTCGTCTTTTTATTTCTGCCGCAAATCAGTATTGCGCCCACTGCTGTTTTTTACGAATGTATTACGGCCCACATCCGACGTCACACACGACACACGTAGAATGTAACAAGTTTGGGTACTTATTTTTTATTGTAAATTTCACGACGCAATTTTAAGCCCGCGATGCGTGTGGTTGTTTGCGGGTCCCCTGCACCGGCGAATAACTAGTAGAACCACACAGCGATGCTCGCTTAGCGCCGTACCGGTATGAGGTCTCCCTATCAGGTAATGTATGAAGGAAGCCTATGTTCAGCAGTATAAATAGGCTTTAACGGTACAGACGCCGTCGCAGCCTGAAATTTTGGAAGGGGTCACTAATAATATAATTTAAAATTAAAAATTTTGTACAACCGACTTCAATATAAATTATTAAGAATAACTCATAAACTATTAGCCACACCTTGATCAAGAGTTTGTCAGTAGTTTTTAGAAGATTTTGCAATTTGATGTGAACGACTTGGGGGGAGGGGGTCATTTACCCTGTGAACCTCCCCTTCGGACCGCGCCTGTAACGGTAACGGATAATGGTTATATAAAATAATAATAATTGTAAGAATTTTCATACGCTCAGATATTATGATGATCCGGCAGATAGTAGTTCCAGTCATTCATTAAATTCTTTGGACACGAAGTATTTTCCAAGCTCCAAACTCGACATTTACTTGTCAATCGCTATGTAAATAAATTTTATAAGGAGACGTGACCAAATGACCAAAGTACAAAATAAATATAATCCCTGGTGCCGGCACTAAAAAACGTTTGTTTATAGATATAGTTAAATCTGAATAAGTTTACGAACATTTAATAACATATACTTTATTCAACTTTAGATTCTCTTGGTGCCGAATATGGAGAAGGTCGCATTCTCAATCTCGAGACTACTTGGGAAGAATCAGAACCACGTACTCCGCTTATTTGTATTCTGTCCATTGGATCAGATCCATCAGCGCAAATTGCTGCCCTAGCTAAGGCAAAAGATATCGGTAAGCTCAGTTTTAGATTTATTACACCTGCCAGTGTTTATCTTTAACATCCAAATAGTTTTTTTAGATACAGCGTTTGTGGATGCTATCAAGAAAACTAATGAGAGGTTTTCTTAATTTCCCTTTTAGCGTCAATTTCAATGCTTAAAATGTCTGAAATGGCTGACAATTTTACGAAAGTAAAAAATACAATCTATTTGACAAACCCCCAAAAGAATTAGTTACTAGAAAAGATATTTTGATTTAGGTTGTTGTACATAAGAAATTAAAAATTCAAACCAAGTGAAATTTTTAGCAAAATTCTGTGGATAAAACGATTAATTTCACCATTCATTTTTTATTAATTTATTATAATAAACCTCTTTTGATATAACGTATAAAGGACTAAGTCAAACAGCTTATTTATACTCGTTAAAGAGATTTCTGTATTTATATCTTATGATCTTTAAATCTTATGATTAATTTTTATCACGTGTGTGTATTCTGCATTAGACACTAGTCGTTTCTTTTTTTATAAACATTTCCTACAGTCACACAGCATTGCTTCCTTGAACAGAGCTTTCTATACCTTTTGATGTGTTAACATAAATACCAAAGTTATTTCCAAATGTAATATTACAATGTTGACAAAGACACAGCATAATTTAATGTTTTTATTAACTCATCACTTGCATCATAAAAATAACAATTCTGAAAAGATAAAAAGTGGTAGAGCCACGCTGTAGCTATATTAGTTGTAGTACGAATAATTCGGCTTAATCACTAATACACCAATTATCTTTAACATCCAAGGTTGACGGCAAACATCCTTTGCAAAATGATACAAAGACGTGGTCTTTACGGTGTTATATGGAAAAAGTGTAATGTGTTATATGTGTTATATAAATGAAATAAAAAATAAGATGATGATGAGTATGAAATTTTATATTATCCTACTTAATTTTCTTTTAACAGTATTAAAAGCAGTTTCAATGGGACAAGGTCAAGAAATTGTCGCCCGCAAAATGATATCGGATGCGATGAATGAAGGAGGCTGGGTTTTACTACAAAATATTCATCTTTCGCTACCATTTTGTGTAGAGGCCATGGATGCTCTTATAGAAACCGAGCATATTCAAGAAAGTTTCCGTCTTTGGCTTACCACTGAGGTTCACACAGATTTCCCTATAGGTTTGTTACAAATGGCGATTAAGTTCACGAACGAACCGCCACAAGGTATTAGAGCAAGTATGAAAAGAACTTACCAGAACATTACTCAAGACACATTAGATTATTCATCACTACCACAATGGCCACCTCTGCTATACGCTGTGGCATTTTTACATACAATTGTACAAGAAAGAAGAAAATTTGGACCCTTAGGATGGAATATTCCTTACGAATTCAATCAAGCTGATTATGCAGCAAGTGTCCAATTTATTCAAAACCACCTCGACGAAATCGACCCAAAGAAAGGGATTTCATGGCCAACCATTTGTTATATGCTCGGAGAGGTACAATACGGTGGACGGGTAACTGATGATTTTGATAAACGCCTGCTAACAACATTTACCAATGTCTGGTTTTGCGACGTACTTTTAAGACCTGGTTTTGAATTTTACAAAGGCTACAAGGTGCCCCAGACAAGAAATCTTCAAGGTTATGTAGATTATATAAACCAGCTGCCTCTAACAGATACCCCCGAAGTGTTTGGCTTACATAGCAACGCAGATATTACGTACCAGATTAACAGCGCGAAAGACATCTTAGACACCATACTTAGTGTTCAGCCTAAAGAAGGAGGAAGTCAGGGAGGAGAAACAAGAGAAAGCATTGTTTATCGATTAGCTGAAGATATGCTGGAAAAGCTACCAAAGCAATATGTTAGTTTTGAAGTTAGGGAAGCTCTACAGAAGATGGGTGCTTTTTTGCCAATGAACATATTTTTAAGGTATGCTTTATGATTTATAATATTTACTATATATACCTAATATTGTACTAATCATTTACATTCAGTCTACATTGCCATTTTTATTACCTTTACACGTATAAATTAAATTGAAGTGTCTGTCTGTAATACAGCAATAACTGCCTATTTTGAGCTGAGAAGGTTATTTGCATGGCATAAAAACATGAAAAACAATTTTTGAAATTTTTGTCTGTCTGTCTATCCGTTTGATGTCTCTCTGTCTATCTGAGCTTATCTTAGGAATGGCTGATAAATAGATGATAGAAGGCAATATTAGGAGTGATGTAATCTTTATTTTATCCGAAAAACTCAACCAAAGAAATCAAAACATTTTTAGAATATAAATGGTCTTTGATGATTATGTTAAATGTGAATAACGCTACATTTATAGGGCCCACTTAGGCGGGTCTCGGGAGCTAACCAGGCAGACGTAGTTCTGCCCTTTTCTGAGATGACCCTTTCTCCAATAAAAAAAATCCTTAAATTCCTAATTAAAAATATTGAGGGTCACTTATAGGGATAAAAACTATCATATCTCTCAAGTTGGACCAAACTGCACACAGTGTACAAAATTTCATTGAAATCAGTTCAGTAGTTTAGGAGTTCATCGCGGACAAACAGTGTGACACGTAATTTTTATATATGAAGATATATATATATACATATATATATATATATATATATATATATATAAATATATATATATATATATATATATATATATAAATATATATATATATATATATATATATATATATATATATATATATATATATATATATATTATATATAAAAGCTAGTCATGTAAACGATTAACACAATATTTAGTCTGTATTTATTTTGTATATATAATTATACATTGATCATGTTATAATATTTCTTCTGCAGACAGGAAATTGACAGGATACAACGGGTTATCAAAACTGTGCAAACCACATTGTGCGATTTAAAATTAGCAATTGACGGCACGATAGTGATGAGTCAAGGGTTACGAGAATCACTGGATGCTATGTACGATGCAAGAATACCCAATCATTGGTCAAAGGTTTGATTGTATTTACTAATGTACTAGCGACCCAGCCCGGCTTCGCCTGGATATGAATTACAAATATAGCGATATTTAGATTTAAGATTATTTTGTAGATTTTTCGTATTTTCAAAAAATCTTAGTTTGCGTATGAAATATAGCCTAGATCCTTCTATAGATATAGATATTGTTCTCCATTTGTTCGTAAAGTTCCATCATAATTAGTTGAGCAATTCCGAAGATTAGCCCGGATGGACAGACAGACAGAGCAAAATTAAAAAAAAATGGTTGCTTATGTCTTTTATGCATGCAAATAATTCCTTGAGCTTAATAGAAGCCACTCATTTAAATATTACAGACAGACACTTCCATTTTATTTATACGTATAGATTTATTGCAGAAATGTAACAAATTAACCAAATAAGAAATCTTTAATTAGACAAATCGAATCCAAATATTAAGGTTTTATCGTTTAGATAATTAAGTTCTAGATATAACATTTAAGGTTTATTTTGATATATAACATTTCTTTATTAACCTAGTTTTCTTCACTTCTTTTTGTGACGTAAGCACAATCTTCTTTCAACAAAGACTTCTTTTATGGCGAATTGTGACTTTTTGTACTGCACAGCCTGTAAAACATTTTTCCAAGATATGTAACTTCAAACTACATATTATTACACCGAAATGATGATAAGTTAATGATATATTACAATAACAACCTTTGAATTGAGTCCATATCTACTTAATTAGGTCATATTGACCATGACAGTACGGTTGTGTCACTATAAGGTAAGGTCCAGGTCCATGATTAAATGCCAGTTCATCTATTTTGTATCTTAATTTTGTGACGTAATCGTCACGAGTGACAACTTTATTATCGGATATGATTTGATGCTGTGTAATTAATTATACTTTTAGGTTTATACAGTCTAACCTCGGTAAGCGAGAGTTTAAGGGGCCGAAAATTCTCTTTTTCGCTTATGGAGGTTTCTCACTAACCAGAGTTAGCTTATTCCATAGGTATTCTTAATTGTACAAATATTTTCACTAAATATTTTTAAACCTTTCTTCACGCTCGTTCTATATCATTTAGAGTTAACACGCATTTTTCAAGGCAACATGCTAACTCACCTGGAAGTTAAGAAATGGAAAGAAGAAAAAATCTAAAATGGTATTTTAAACAGGTTTCATGGGAATCGGCAACTTTAGGATTTTGGTACACGGAACTATTAGAACGAGAGCAGCAATACAGGGCCTGGTTGCGTAACGGACGGCCGCACACATTTTGGATGACCGGATTCTTTAATCCTCAGGGATTTCTTACGGCTATGAGACAGGTTTTCATTTGCTTATATTCGTATTATTATAAATGTTATGGTCCTGAAAATTTAAGTTCTAAACAATGATCTAGGGATGGAACGATATCGATCCTATAAAGATATATCAGCCAATATAATCGGGTGGCTGATATATCGGGATCGCCGACAATCAATCCATACAATTTGAAAAACACGCAAATTGACGACACACGTTGCCGTTTCCGTCGCAGGCAGGATGGCGGAAGAGCTAGCGACATTGCCGTGTTTGCTGAGCATTATATTTTTTCGTGAGAAATATAAAATAAAATAAAAATTGCCAGGTTTGTGCATAATAAAGACATACAAACACCTGAAAAACGTAACTCTCTGCCAGTCGGGCAAAAATGTGTACACATAGTATCGTTTCGGCAAAATGACGTATAATTAAATCCCTAGTTTTATCAATCTGTCAAAAGTACATGGGGTACACTGAAAGTTTTGCGTAACTCATATATAAAACATTACATTTTAAACACGTTTTCGTTCGTTCAAATCATTTTTGATCATATAAGGACCATTGGCATGATGGCATGTTTTTCACGTACTGGTTGAAAGCTATCGCGACCTCTTCTAGCTCCGTAAATGTCTACTTTTTGGGAAATAAACAAATGCAGCTGGTGCGAGGTCTGAACAGTGTGCGGGATGGGCCGCGGGCCCCACCTTTTCAAAACCCAAAAATGACTGCTTGCGCCGAAGTGTTGTCATAGTACAATAGGATGCGACATCTTGGGTTTTTTTCAAAGAGAGGTGTGATGTACCACTAAGGTTTAACTCTTTTGCTCACCAAGTGGGTTCGTGCAGCTCAATCATTTTTTGCTTACCTCGGTTTTGTTGGTTTGCTGTCGCCTTCGAAATCCCATACAGTAGACTGTTACTTTCTTTCCCAAATGTAACAAATACATATATCCATATTTCATCTTTTGTCACAACATATTTTTAACGTCTGCGATCATACCTACATTATCAACATTTTTTTACCCAATTAAACTCAAGCCCGTTTTTGTTCTGGATTGAGTTCATGTGGAACCCAGCAGCAACAATATTTTTAAACTTTAAATGTTAATGTATTTTTTTTTATTTGTCTTATACTAATACCCAAATGTGTTCGAATCTCCTAATCGATGATGCGGCGGTTTTCTTCAATTAGTGGCCTGACAATAGCTAATTTTTTTTAAATTTCAATTCGCAAATTTCATTATCGATTCAAATTTGACCTTATGGTACTCATACAAGGTTAACAAAAGCAAATCTATCATAAAAATGATCGCCTTAGATCTTTTCGCGTTAATTCAATATTTATATGATACGTAATAACTTTCAGTGTGCTCGTGTGCCCTATGCAGTTTTTTAATTAATATTATTGGCTTGGATGCTTGTTCTTTAAGCCATGTCTTCATTTATCTCAGTATGAAGTAATAATAATCCTTTATAGTACACTCCTTCACAATACATATTATGTTGATGCGTCACATAGCGTAGTTTTTGGGAGATTTTGACGGCAACTTGAGCTAGCAATCAGTTTTCGATAATGTCTCAAGACGCTTAAGCAGACAAACACCTTATCTTGTGATTCACATCACCATCGGAATACTTGATTCACCGTTTCCACTAATAATTCACATGCGCAGACATTTAATACACAAAGTTGTATCAATTTTTTATATCAAAATCCACTTCAAACCAATATTTAAACAATAATACAGGAGTAGCAATCCGACGCCAGTCAAGTTCTCGCCAAAAACCCCTTTATTAGTTTTCATGAGCAATTACTCTCTACCGATAGGGTCATAGGTAAGGGATTTAGATGTGTCATAATTTTGTAAAAGAAAGTAAGTAAAGCAAGTAAGGAAGTGCAGTCCTACAACTAGGTATCCCTCTCCTTTCTGAGAAGGTTGTTAGGGCAAACTAGAGTCCGCCGTGTTGCACCAATGTATGTCTGTGGGCTTCACATGTTTTTTCAATATTTTTTCAAATTTTTTACACATGCAGGTTTGCTCACGATGTTTTCCTTCAAGCAAAGCACGCGGTAAAACAACACTAAAAATTATAATTAACAGTTTCATTGGTGCCGGCTAGGATTGCTTCCGGGTACTGTGAAACTTACGGCAAGCCCTTGCCCCTGAACTACCACGGCCAAGACCTGCCTTCATGGGATAACTTTGTGTCATAAAATAATTATTTCGTGGATAATATACCTTGCGCTCTAGATCTTAAAAAATTTTACAATTTTATAGACTTGCATTTCATTATTTTCTGGCTACTCGTGTAAAAACTGTGAATACACCTAATGTCAGTCAGGTTTTGGAGATATTTTCTTTCCCTTTATGATAATACATGATTAAAAATTTGAATAACTTGTAAGAAATTTTTCCATTAGGAAGTAACAAGAAGTCACAAAGGTTGGGCATTGGACTCAGTAGTTTTGCAAAATCACATAACCAAGCTTAATCGAGAAGACGTGCACGAAGGACCAACCGAAGGTGTCTACGTTTATGGTCTGTTTCTTGAAGGTTTGTATTGTATATTTCAAATGCTTACAAAATTAGTAAAAACATATTTTTATTTATTTTTAAAACTGAAGCACAAGCATATCATTTAAATCATCTTAGTTTTCAGGCATTAAAATATATAGTTTTGATTTGTCACAGATAATAAACAGTGACAGAGTTCACCTAATAGTGGATGGGCTGAGTCGTAGAAACCTACATCTATCCTCGATTAAGAGTCAAAATACAGATACGTTGTCAACTCTGATGCTGGTTCTAGTATAAATATCGGTTTTTAGTTAGGTTAGCGAGAGCAGGGCTGTTAGATACATGTTACAGAATCAATCAAGTACGGTGTTATGATACTGCGTTCTTGGTCTTTTTTATTACTAGTGATCCGCCCCGGCTTCGCACAGGTGATTTCTGGATCTTGACAACAGCGCTATTTAAATTTTAACGAGGCAATTTTGGTCCGCGGGTCTAAATGTGAATTTGAACCATTCAAACACACACAAAAATTTTCATCAATCAAATCAAATCAATTTAAAAAAATCAGTCGAACCGTTTTTGAGTTTTAGTGAGTTGAGAGAGACTAACGGAGATCAATCGATTTTTATGTATGAATGTCGTAGGATAATTTGATAAACCGAATCTTTCGCAAAAATCTAGGGATATCGCGAAAACACGGATAAGTAGACATTTCTCAATCTTATTAAAAAAATATAGGTGTTTTTGTAAAAACGCCACTCGCTTTAGTAAAGATTGCGAAAAGAATCGTTGGGTATTGTAAACGAAGCACAATGATTGGTCAGTCGGATCGCCCAAAATAACGTCTTATCTGATTGGTGGTGTAGTAATAATATTATTCAAAATAAGGAAGTTGAATTTTATATAAATGCAAAAGTAATGCATGGGCTTTAATAATATGTAACGGTAACGATAACGCCAAATCGTAATATTATGCTTTTTGTTTAAGTTTATGTTTATAAAAAATTATTAATACCTAATTAAAGTGTATGAGTTGAACTGTACTTTGGGTAAAAACTTGGAAGAACAAATATAAGTGAATTCCGATTATATAGATGAACACGCGTCTCCGAGTAACCACCCTAGGATGGATAAACGGAATAAATGGGGTAGTGGTTATTAAACGGCCCCCAGAACCCCGGCGGCCCCGCTATTCCTGGCTACATTCTAATTCTGGCTTCTTTCAGCTCAATTCTGTAAAACCCGTCGCAGAAGAACACAAACTCTCCGATCACACTCTTAATCTCATGGATGTTAGACGGCAGATGAAGCTGCAGTCTTCAGCAGATTTGACAGTATACAGGCAACTGAACAGACAGGTCCCCAAATGAATGTGGTGGGACTTCCGCAACTTGAATACAGCTCGTATTAAAGAAGCGTCAATTAGACCAGTGCTCTAAAGTCTGCCAGAGATCTGTCTGCCAGAAAGAGCCAACTGTCGAAGCTGAAGACCAAATGTGGTAGCATCGCTTCCGGGATACTTGATATTTTGAGTGAGATTGAGTTTCTATGGGTTTCTATGTACGTGTCATCGTTGGAGCGACACGCAAGTGTGAGTAACGATCCAAGAGCAAGTCTTATCCGACACTATTCCAATTATATTCCGGACGTCAGTCTGATCGAGATTAGAATGACTCTCCAGCACCTTGAAAACGGCAAGGCCCCAGGCCAGGATGGAATTACAATGGAGCTTCTAAAAGCGGGTGTAAAACTGGTACATGAAGTCCTTCAGAAGCTCTGTTATTCCGTCTTCCATGGCGGCACTACTCCGGAGGCGTGAAGCATAAGTGCAGTGGCCTTGTTCTTCAAGAAAGGCGACAACGCTCTCCTAAAGAACTATAGACCGATTTCCCTTCTCAGTCGCGTCCACGTGCTGTTTTCGATAATCATTGCGAATAATCTCACACGCAGGCTCGACGACTTCCAGCCTACTGAACAAGCCGGTTTCCGAAAAGGCTTTAGCACCATAGACCACATACATACCCTTCGGCAAATTGTACAGAAATCCAAAGAGTACAATCTGCCACTTTGTCTTGCGTATGTGGACAATGAGAAAGCCTTTTATTCCGTCGAAATTTGGGCTATGCTGCAGTCTCTTCAACGGTTCCAAGCGGACTGTCGTAATATCGAAGTGCTGAAGTGTATGTACAGTAGGACTATGATGGCTATACGAGTACAGAACCAGAGTACGAAACTTATCCAACTGCAGAGAGGTGTAAAACAGGGTGACGAAATATCCCCAAAACTCTTCACCGCTGCATTGGAACACGTTTTCAAACTACTGGACTGGAAAGGATACAATATTAACGTCAATGGCGAGTACATCACTCACCTTCGATTTGCCGACGATATAGTCCTTATGGCAGAATCGATGGAGGACCTAAGCACTATGCTCAATGACCTAAATAGTGTCTCCCAACGGATAGATCTTAAGATGAACATGGACAAAACAAAAATCATTTTAACGTCATGTCACACCTATACCGGCAGTTGTTAGGAGCAATAAACTCGAAGTTGTTTACGAATACGTTTACCTGGGACAAATAGTCCGACTAGATAAATCCAACTTCGACCGAGAGGTAAATCGACGGATTCAACCCATCTTCTCGTCAGACATACCTCAAAACCTCAAAACTAGATTGTACAACCAGTGCGTGTTGCTACTACTGGTACTGGCCGTTACGGGGAAGCACAAAGTCGCTTAGCCAGCTGTAGAGAGGGCTAAGCTCGGCGTTTTTCTTACTTACGTTTGACTTAAAAAAGAGGATATGCGCAGGAGAACCAGAGTAACCGACATAGCAATGGGCCGGCCATATAGCTCGAAGAATCGACAACCGTTGGGAAAGAAAGGTTCTCGAATGGCAGCCTCGTACCGGCAGGCGAAGTGTAGGGCGTCCTTCCAGTAGATGGAGTGAAGACCTGGTAAGAGATACAGGAAATCAATGGATGCAGTTGGCTCGGGCTTTCTAGCATATGTTCGGCAGTGGACTTGTGAAGGGTTGATGATGATGAAACGGAATAACCCGATCAAGCAGGGGACATTTAAGGGCTAAGAGAAAAAAATGAAGGATTAAAAGTATACAGTGAAGTCTGGCAATTTTACCAATGGAAGGTAACTTTGCCATCAGTGGTGTATTGGTACAAAATTACGATTAACACGGCCGACGTTACGTTTTTTGAGATATACCAATTTCGGATGAAAACACAGTAACTAATTGACAGCATTGCTTTCGATATGGCAACATGAGAGTTAATTTTGGCATATTATTTTAACGCGGAATTGTGCCGGCAAAATAACCTCTTTGTTCAGTGCTCCAGAACTTTTGTATATTTTGTTTGAAATACTGAATGTAGACATCTATAACCTTGTAGTAACGTAGTATTAATGGTTATCAAAAGTAATATATCGTTTTTTTTATATGTTAGTCTTAACTTCTATCTATAAAACTAACTTGACAAAGTTACCATACTAGTGATGCAACGATGTGACGGTTACTTTGTCATGTTTTGCTACAACCAAGGGTTGTCACTTTCAACCTATATTTTAACCGACTACAACTATTTAAACAGAGTGTTTAAATAGTTTTTGTTTACATTCTATGTATGTATGTTTGTATCGATGTTTCACCGTAGCAGCCCATTAGACCGATTTTACCAAGTGAGTCATCAATAAATTCATCTTTATTAAAAGTGAAGGAAAAGAAAAGAGAAATCTATATTATTTTTACTCTCTCATATTCTTATTTTTTACTTTTATATTTATTTTTACTACTCATATTTCATAATTTAAACTTAGTGTATTGATATTAATTTGCACCCAAAAACAGTGTAATTTTTAATCATCATCTAGTTATTGTGAAAAAACAATTTTTAGATTAATTACAATAATTATGACCTGACATCATTTTATTACTACCAGTAATAAAATGATGATGATCACTAATAAAAAAACGAATACTTGTTAAAAATGATTGTGACAAGCTTTTTATATAATATACTAGCTAGCCAGGCAGACGTTCTCCCCTTTCCAGCGACTCTTCCTACAAAAATCCTTAAATTCGGAATAAAAAATTTTGAGGATCATTTATCAAGATAAAAACTATCCTATCTCTCAAGTTGGCCCAAACTGCACACAGTGTGCAAAATTTCATTGAAATCAGTTCAGTAGTTTAGGGAGTCCATCGCGGACAAACAACGTGACACGTAATTTTTATATATAAAGACTATTACATACTATAATTGATTTAAGATAATTACCTCACCACAAGATTAATTCACCAATTTCATTTCTAATTTTAGACGAGAGTATTTTTGTTTGATATATTTTAGATTTTTGCTTAAGAAATTATTGTGGTATGATTTAAATAAAAAATTAAGTTGAGTACCTACGTAATCAAGGATTTTATGCAACCAATTTTCAAGTTTGTATGAAATATTGAAAAATGAGAAGGCAATGCCACAATAGTAAACTTAGCTATTTACAACACAATTAAAGGAGCAAATCATAACTCGGGGTGTTGTGTATTATATTATGAGGTAAACTTACCTTCAGCCTTGAAGTCAAATCCTATTATTCTCATTGTAAACCCAGATGGCAAAGTTGACACAAAGTGAGGTTAACTTTGCCATTTTCTATTTTTGAGTATTTTGTCTATTTAATGTTAGCATTTGTTTAAATCACTAATAAATACCAAATCTATGAAGTATATAATGTCACATTTAACATTGACGCCCAGTCCGACAGTACATTTTTTGTTGGAAAATTGGTCCTAAACTTTTAAGTCCTTCCATAAATGGCAAAATTGCCAGCTTTCACGGTATTTATTTTGCAGGAGCATCTTTGGACCGAAAAACTGGAAAACTAATAGAATCAAAGCCTAAAGTGCTTTACGAACAAATGCCTGTCATATACATATTCGCAATAAACACAACTGCGGGTAAAGATCCAAGATTGTACGAGTGTCCAATTTACAGAAAGCCTCAAAGAACTGACGCAAAATACGTCGGTTCTATCGACTTTGAGACTGACAGCAACCCGCGACATTGGACGCTGAGAGGCGTGGCACTATTGTGTGATATTAAATAAATAACTAAGTACAAGACAATTAAAAAAAATATCCCGTTTATTTAAATCTTTTACACACTGCAATAAAACAATACATTATTTAATCACAAGACCTAATTAAGTTAAAATAACATATAAACTTAAGTTGATATAGATAAATAAATACAAAGTAGACAGTTGTCCTTGATGAACAACGAAAACGACAGAGTCACGAGAGATGCAATGCGATGTAAAACTATCAAATACTAGCGACCAGCCCCGGCGTCGCACGGATGATTTCTCGATCTCGACAACAGCGCCACCTACAGGATCCAACTGTGAATCTTAACCATCCAAGGACCCACTTGAACACAAAAACATTCATCAAAATCATTCCAGCCGTTAAGGAGTTCAGTTACTAACACGTAGGTACTGATTAATTAATATACCTACTTAATATAAAGATTAAATCAAATATTATGTAGTTTTAATCTTTTTCCTATCCCATATAATTACATGAATATTCCTAGAAAACTGTTAAGTAGCGTTGGCATAAATATGCAGTGTATCCCGGTACAGCGAAAAATATCCGGTTTGTGTCCAGGAAAATAAGTTAGCTGTCGTCACAAATGAAATATAAATATTATGGTATAATTTTGTTTCAAAACTATAAAAGATTAGAATTTTTTATCGCTTAGCTTCGCGTCGTGATTTGCCGCTTTCAGTCACTTACCTGGGACAATGTCTTAATAGAAGTCTTTTTATTTTAACATAAGTTTTTTAAACCTCGCTTTAGAAAAACCTAAATGTTAAAACGTACATTATCTGCGATTGGTATGAAGATATGACAAAATATTACACAATTATTGATGAAATTAGGTAGACTAACATAACGTCTAATTACAAAAATTTCTTAATTTCATCGTACAACACTAGAACGAAAGCGCCTCCAGTGCCTCGTAGTACATTCGAGAAGGCGCCCTTGAAGAAGGCTCTTGGACCTTCGGTGCGAAGGATTGTGGCCCAGCAGTGAGCAGTGCTTTTATACTGCCGCTCGTGCACAGGTCGTCCCGACTGCATCATCATTCTTCGCCTTACAGTATCCAGTGGGTACGACGTAATGCCAGCGAAAGTTGTCACAGTCTGTACGATATAATTTGGCTATATTAGCAATTTAAAAATGTATGATACTTTTATGAATATAAATTAGGGCAAATTTATGCAAAGTTAATTGTAGACACGGCAGTGTAATTAATAATAAAACGAAAAAAAAGTAAAAGGTAAAAGGTGTCAAAAGTTAAATAATTCTGGTACTTTGATACTGCGATCCTAAGTACACCTGCCAAGCCTACACCTGTCAAGAGTGGCACTTACTTCTACTTGTCTCATATTACAAAGCCTACGTTTACAAGAGTATTGCATCAATATACTATGAAAACTATCAAAAAATGAGAAATGCATGTCTTTTTTATCAATTAATTACCTGTGCTATAAGCCACGATATGAGAAGCGGCGTGTTTTTAGGATCCGGCAGCATACCACGGGCAGTGTCGTAAAAACCAAAGTAAGTAGCTCGATAAATGATAATTCCTTGAACAGAAACAATGAATCCGCGATAAAGGCCGATTGGACCATCCGACTTTAGAGTTTTGAGTAAACAATCAATCAAGCCTTTAAATTCTTTGTCCTTTCCTTTACCGACGTCAGCCGCTAACCTGAATTTAAGAAAAAGATATAGAATATTCGCATTTACAATTGCAGTAAGAGTTTATTAATTTCATAATTATTCATCTTGTAATCACCTAGTTCGCGCGTAATCTAAAGGATATACAAAACATAACGAAGTCGCTCCAGCCGCACCGCCAGACGCCAGGTTCCCAGCAAAATATCTCCAAAAACTAACATTTTTGTCGACACCTTCCAGAAAAATCTTTTTGTATACATCCCTGAATGCAAAATTGAGAGCTTGCGTCGGAAAATATCGGATAACGTTCGCTAAATTTCCCCGCCAAAATGACAATATTCCTTGCTCCTTAGGTATACGCACGAGTGCGTCCAAGATCCCTTTAAAAATAGATAATATTAGGTTTGGTACAATACAATATTACACGTTTCGTTAAAGACAAACATTTTATAAGCATCACCTTTATATCGCTTATCTTCTGTAATCTGTTTAGAAACATGTTGCACTTGCAAAATTAATTTCACTCGTTCTATCGGTGCAACAGCGGTCTTTGAAACTGCTGCTGAAATACCTCCCGCTAAAAAATCTTTCAGAAAGGCAGTAGTTTTATCGTCTTTTTTGAGGCTTTTATCGTCTTTCTTCTTTTCGTCCTTGTTAGTCATTATGATAAGAATACTATATATTTGGAAAACAAATTATTCGAAACCTTAGCATAAAATATAATCATAAACTACTCATCCTATTTTTTGCACAATAATTGTATTAAATATTTTAATATTCACAATATTAGACGATAACAAAATGACAATATAAAATATGGCAAATTTGACAATGAGTCAAGTTTTTCCTATTAAATTTTAAAAACAGAATAAGCAAGAGATACTCCTTGGAAGACACAACAATTATTGAGAATATTAATAAGTACTATAATATCCTCAAAATACTTTTCATAACAATAATAATTAATAGTTATTCAAGATTGTCAGTTGCTTTTACCTCTATTAGCGTATTTAACACATAGAATGATTAGATTTAACTTTTGCCCTTTATGACTCATTGTCATGGGTCATTGTTATTATAAAAATAAGATGAAGCTGATCAATCATATATTTTGGATAGAGAAGCAGAGCAAATTCCAAACAAAACAAGCTTTAAGTCCATTAGAGAACGTACCACAAGTTTTTGATCATTCGGCGATGAAAAAAATAATATAAGAATAAATTAGTAAAATAAAATAAAATATTTATTATCTTGACGTTTCTAATTTCTATGAATGATATGTTTGCATAAAACCAAAGAGATTTAAATATATAGGTATACTATAGAGCGGCCATTGGGAACATTTATATACAAAAACTTTGAGTTAGTGCGCGTGTGGCACCCTCTAGCTAAAAATAGCAAAACAACGCTAAGCATTTATTAAGACAACATTTTAGCTATTCCCCTGTAGGTGACGCTAGTAAATATAACTTCATTTTAGGAATGTTACCGTTTCGATATCAAAGTATCGATAATGTTGTTGAAGATTAATAAGCTTGAAATGCTTTTCGACATAATAAGAGGGAATATACATGATTGTTTTATTGTATAAATCTATTTATCATGACTTCCATCACACGAAAAAAATCATATTAACTTTTTACGCCCCTTTAGTGTCATGAAATAAATATATAAATATATTTAATTTCCAATAACTAAGAATCAATTCGAACAGCAGTCACTTAATAATAGCATATGATTGATCGGCCGGCATTAAATACACATCGAGAAACGCCAAATCCAATAAGAGAGCGCCTCTATGTTTTATAATTCGTTTTTATTACAAAAATACACTTCAAATCAAAAAACATTTTAGGAAAAAACTGAACTTAAAAGCTGTTTCACGATTTTTTACTTTTCATTAGCTGCAGTACTTAAACACACTACCCACATCAATAAAAATTGTTATTTTAAGTTTTTACCTTATTTTCTAACTCAGGCTTAACCTACAACTTCTTGCATCTAATATCTTTAACAGTACAAATTGTTTTTAATGTAAATAGAATAGAATAGAATAGAATAGAATGATTTTTATTCAATATGGATTATTACATAATACTTATTGAAAGTCATTATTTTATTTACCACTGGTTCGGAAAATACCTCCTGTCCTGGGAAGAACCAGCAAGAAACCCAGCGGGACTTTTTTTTTTAAACATAATTTCACTTAACAATAATTTTGATTATACAATTTTAAATGAATTTTCATAGAACCAGCATGGTGGCGATCACCTTATTCCCAGGGGTTATTTTCACTCATGTATTCCTTGATATTATAATAACCCTTTTTGTACAGTTTTTCTTTAAAAAAATTTTTAAACTTGTTTATTGACAAACTTTGAACATGTTCTGGGATTCTGTTGTAAAAGCGTATACATTGCCCCATAAATGAATTACTAATTCTGTGGAGTCTTGTAAGTGGCATTACAAGCTTATGTTTGTTCCTAGTGTTTAAGGTATGAACATCCTTATTCTTATTAAAGCTATTTATGTTTTTATGTACATACATTACATTTTCATAAATATATTGCGATGCCAAAGTTAATATGTTTATTTCTTTAAATTTTTCTCTAAGGGACTCTTTACAATTTAGATTATAAATCGCCCGTACGGCTCTCTTTTGCAAAACAAATATAGCTTCAATATCAGTCGCATTACCCCATAGCAAAATTCCATAAGACATTACGCTATGAAAGTAACTAAAATACACTAACCTAGCTGTCTCAACATCTGTGAGACTTCTAATCTTTCTTACAGCATATGCTGCAGAACTAAGTCTGCTTGCTAATTTAGATATATGGGGGCCCCATTGAAGTTTCGCGTCAATAGTAATACCGAGAAAAACAGTGGTATCCACAAGACTCAACTCCTCCCCATTTAAGAGCACATTGGTTTTCGAATGTTTTACATTAGGTATTGTAAATTTAATACATTTTGTCTTGTTGCCGTTTAAGAGCAAATTATTGGCGTTAAACCAATGTACTAGTTTCGATAGAGCATTATTTACATCGTCATATTTAATTGACTGCCGTTTCAGTTTGAAAATTAAAGAGGTATCGTCAGCAAATAATACTATATCGTGATTGTCCCCTACAAGATAAGGTAAGTCATTAATATAGATTAAGAACAGGAATGGGCCAAGAATCGAGCCCTGAGGAACGCCCATTGATACTACCGATCCGGAGGAACATTTACCATTAATGACGACTTTTTGAGTTCTGTTACTTAAATATGAAGTAATAAGTTTAAGCGCCAAATTTTTTACACCGTAATGTTGTAGTTTCCTGATTAATGTATCATGATGAACACAATCGAAAGCCTTGGAAAGATCACAGAAAATACCTAAGGCATCTTGTGAATTCTCCCAGGCATTAAAAATATATTTCATAAGCTCAACACCGGCGTCAGACGTCGAGCGACCCCTTGTAAAACCAAATTGATTTTTATGAAGTAATTTATTTGTATTAAAAAAAATTAACAATTGATCCAAAATTATTTTTTCAAAAATTTTACTGAGAGTTGGTAGTACAGAAATAGGTCTATAATTAGCGGGGTCCAATGTACTACCAGATTTAAATAAAGGTATTACTTTACTATACTTCATTAAATCAGGAAACACACCAGAATCGATACAAGTATTAAAAATAATAGCAAGATGAGGTGCAATTAAATCTATTATGGACGTAATCACTGTAACGGAAATCCCCCACAAATCTGCGGTTTTCTTTACATCAATGGTTTTGAAGTATTTTACAATATTATGCGGTAATACTTTTACAAATCTAAATTCTTTTAAACAGGTATTAACATTCTGTTTAAGTAATGATTCGGCGACAGTTGGAGAAGCATTCAATGACTCTGTTGTCAAGATAGGAACATCAGTGAAATATTTCTCAAACACCGCTGCAACTTCTTGATTTGATTTAGTCAATTCATTATTAATTTTTAATTGATAGTTTGAATTACGAGGTTTCTCATTACCGGTTTCGCTGTTAATTATACTCCACGTCATTTTAATTTTATTCTTAGCTGTCTTAATTTTGTTACTAATATGTAATGATTTGGCTGTGGAGCAAACTCTTTTAAACATTTTAGAATAATTTTTTACATATTCTTTAAAAGCATCGGAAAGATTATACGATCTTTCATGGTAAAGGTCATATAACCTTCGTCTGCTTTTATGAATTCCTACTGTCGCCCACTCATTAAATGCCTTGCGACTGTTTCTGGAGAATGTTTTAGAAGTGAATGTTTTATTAAATTCATTGTTTATAAAGGTAAATAATTCTCTATATAAATAGTCTGCATTGTTCTTATAAGAAAGGGATGGAAGGATTTTTAACATATTACTTCTAAATCTCTCCAGGCGTTTTTCATTAATAGGAACAAACACAATTTTCTCATTTACCTGTTTTTTGTGCATATAAGGTAACGAAACCAGTTGTCCACAGTGATCTGAACTAAGTTTTTGAATTATTGATTTGTTGATTGGTACAACACCTGTAAAAATATTATCAATACACGTTGCACTACACCCTGCAATACGTGTAGCTTCAAAGAATAAATTATTAAGATTATAGGATTTGAACAAAGAACAGAATTTAATACTGATGGAAGAAGTTTCCAGGAGATTGATATTAAAGTCTCCACACACTACAAGAGATTTATTCTGTTTATTAAGCTTAACTAAAACTTCTTCCATAATTTTTTCAAAAGTATCATAACTTGAACATGGGGGTCTGTAAACACTGACAACAATAAGGTGCTCAAGCTCAACACATGCCATTTCTACAGTACGCTCAACAGAGAGGCTCACAATGTCTTTACGTTCTTTACATGATAAGGACTTATTAGCTAATATTAAGGAGCCACCACGTAATTTAGTATCTCTATTGAACGAACTGACCACCTGGTGATTACTGAAATTAAATATGGAGTTGTATTCTTTCAACCAATGTTCTGTAATACATAAAATATTTATACTGTTACTATTTAAAAATAATTCAATTTCTAATTCTTTGCCTAACATACCTTGTATATTTTGATGCACCAGGTTGATACAGTTTTTATTATTTTTATTTTGTAAAATTGCATAATTATGTATTGGTAAGTTGCATTCTAAGCTATTTAAATTATCTTTGCTAGAGATTACCTCTATTGTCTTATTATCTAATTTAAATTACTTGGAACTGGTTCCAAATCAAATGTAAAATTATTTTGTTGCTCAAAAGAAGCAGGTGTCAAGGTAGCCAAATCATTGGCTGAGTTAAAATATAAATAATAAGATAGCGTATCTGCTACCAGTCTTAAACTATACTTTGATAGGTAATACCTATCTCTTGTCAAAAACTTCTTAGTTAAATTATTAATATCAATTAAATGAAATTTATCATTATTATTCTTACAATTAAATGTCAAATTTAAGTTATTGTTACATGTCAAGTTATGCATCATTAAATTTAAATTATGTCTTAGTTTATTTTCCTGTGGCCACCCCTCTATATAAGGCAATGTAAACAAGATAACTTTAACCACATTTATGTTATTGAGATATTCAATATATTTTAATAATTGATTCTTGTTCATATTGCCTCTTCTCCCAACAAAAATTATTAATATACTA